TTCTTCATTCCACACTCAGTTTGATCTGATCAGTCAGTCAGTGTGCTCTAACTAACCACTGAATGAATCGTCGTTTGTCTACCTCAGAGCAATAATAATCAAATCGTTGTCGTTCAGTATTCCTCATCAATAACGACGACACAATCCATCATTTGCATAACAACACATTCATTCAACCGAGCCACGGCAGCACTACCACAATAAGCCAGCTATTTGTTCTGCTTCCAGCTTTATCACTTATGATATCATCATCACTATTAGTACTAATACTCGCGAATAGACATATTCCACGACTAATATCAACAAAATTCGACATTTGTCAAGCTTTTTTACTGTCGCATTTTAACTAAACCACCATCTACCTAGTTGTTCCATTATTAAACACCCTTTTGGTTTTCTCTTCATTTCACCTTCATCTTCTTGACTGAACATAAAAATTCGCATCAAGGCAGCAGATGTCTACGAAAGAAATTGATTTGCTAGACGGCGGCGACGAGGTAATTATTCATTTTGCAAACAATTTCCGAGTTCTTTCCCTATTTTCACTCTCTAACAACTACAACAAAAGCAACAATCACTCGTCATTCACAGATTCACTTCCGACTTTCAACTTCTCATTCGAAAATGTCATATTTCAGCGAAACAAACAAGCATCGTCGTCGATGCGTTGCATCTTATTAAACCTCAAAATATCGAACAGCCAGCCATTAGATCAACACAAAAAAAATCCCTCTGAAAACTTTCAATCGCATGTGAACGTCGCAGCTCACTGATTTCATTTGAGATCAGTTCGCTCCCTCTATCAGATAGTATTAGTTGAAATTCAGCCATGCATGCCACATGCTAGGTGTAATTGTTGTTCAGTGAAAATAGGTTATGCTATTCGAAGGAATTTGATGTTGTTGATTGTTTTCTAGGATCGCAAATGAATGATATTTTCGATGATCACCACTAGAGAACACTTTGTTTTAAACTTATTATTATTGTTTTGCTTTCATATGATGAAATATGAAGTTGCTTGTCCGTTTCACGCGTACAAATAATGTTCTACGACGAGTGTAGCGCATATGTCAGCCTGAAAGTAAGAAGTGTTGTCCAAGCATTAAGTTGAGGTTGTTTCGATTAGACGAGGCTAAAATAGAGCAGTTTGCACTGTTACACTCGCATGAAGTAAGTTTGCAAATTGCTGCACATGTTCTAGTCAAGCAAATTACGTGAGGTTTGTTCCGATGTTGGAATGCGGTAAGTTCGTATCTTTAAACAGACATTGGAAAATCAGAGCACGGAATTGCGCTTATTGCGAGGGAATAACAACAGTTTAAAGACTTATTGTGCTCGTGAAGATTGATCAAAAGCTCAACAATTGTCCAAATTTCTTCAACAATTCGGATCCTTTGATTAGTGTTCCTGCTCAATAAGATTGTTCACTAGTTCCTCATTTTTAGCGCTATTGTTTCATTAATACTCCAACAATGCTCTATGCTTAGGTCTTTCATTTTATTTACATTTTATTTTTTCATTTACTCATTTCATTATTGATTCTTCGTTATCCACTGCGACATTAGACTCTAAAAATTCTCATTTTATTTTTTTATTCAAATTTTTCAAATTCTCATTCTTCACGGCTCTGTTTTAGTTGATTGCTGTCCTTAAAAGTGGCTCACTTCAATTGTCATTTTTTGTTTCACGTCTTTTACAAGTAATCCTTCTGTTGATTGCGGACCTCTAACACCAAGCAATAGTCGTTTGCTGTTGAGTAGTTGTGGAAGGTATATGAAAAAATAATAATATTCGCAAAATTCCTCGATTCAACCATCAGAGGAAAGTCTTGAGATTATTTCCACACCCAAGATGTATTCTCTAACTCATTTATCAAATGGGAACTATTGATAGTGTATGAAAGAAATGTGATCATTTTTTGCTTGGAAAATGTCTGGAAAAAAGTGAACGAGAGACGCGAACAACTCACAAAATGATCGTTCGTTGCGTTCATTAACTCAACTTTGAAGATGTCTTTGTGCTGGATTCATTTGAATTGTTTCTTCGAGTTTGAAGAGGTTACTTTATACGAATTTTGGGATTTTCTCCGATTCAGTTTGAACGAATGCACTTTCAGTGTGGATCATTTGATATGACTTTTTTTCACTTGATATCAGCAGCCATCACTTCGAATTTCATCGCATCCATTCTGATCAGTTGTAGCACTGAATTTTTCTCAGCTCATCCAATTTTATCGCTATAAATTTTGCACCCTTTTATTTGAACATATTTGAGCATTAATAAGATTATGATTCAAACAAATACTACTGAAATATCATTTCAAATAGCTTAAGCTCAGTTGGATTAGGATTAGAAAAGTTCAGGAAAAAAGAAAAAAAGAGTGACATTATGAAAATTGGGTTGAATTGAAGATCCTCTGCAAGCCTGAAAACCGAAAATGTTGCATATGAATCAGAGAGAAACCATGAGCAAGTCAGGTGTGAATGATATGAACATTCAGTGATCAGAGAAAGGCATAACGGTGATAAAAAACGTGAGCAGAAGGACGATCTTAATAGGGATCATAGAATTTCCTCACGATTAGCCGTGAACCGAATCGGATTTTAAAAATGTTCAGTTGAACGAATAATTGAAACTTTTTCAGCAGTAGAAAAATGAATAATAGCAAACAATTAAAATGAGATGATGAATTCAAAAAAAAAAACTGAATTTATAGCAGTTTAAAGCGGTGAATAACCTGTTTTTAAAATCGATCATTACGTCGAAATAACGATCATTTATCTACTGAGAAGAGAATCGAGTAGCGCAGTTAACTGGTTCTTATGAATTTGCTGCTCACAATATCGGGAACATTTGATGAAACATCCTAGGAAACTTGCAACTTATGCAATTTTTCAGTTCTGTTAGTTGATTTGAGAACGGGTGCTCGGTGTGGTCAGAATATTGTCTCGGTTCTTATCTAATGATTGATCGGTCATCGATGAAAACCATTTGTTTCGGTTGAATATGCTGCGGTTTCGTTCTCTAAAATTCGTTTTCAATTTCTTCCAGTGGAACTGGAAATGATTTTCGAAAATTTTGACAATGTTTAAAGACACTTTTTTTTCTAACTGAAGTCAGTGACCAACCGCATTGTTGTCGATCTATTGTTTTTAAATTTTTTAAACAGTGAAAGAACATTTCGAAAGTGAGCGATTTTTAATCTTTCAAATATGATTTTTCCATCGATTCAGGATATTGGTAGATTTGAGGAGCAACCATGCTGATATGCTCTAATACATTCTGAACCGATAAGATGAATATCATTCGGAAATTCTCGGATTCATCGTATCGTTTTTCATCTCATTTCCCCATGGAATTCATCTACACCATCGAGAGCACATCTGAATTTATCTACTAATTTACAAGCTCTGATCGTGACAACATATTTTTATGACGTTTACATTTGCTACATTTGAAGTTTCATATTCGGAGTTAAGAACGGATCAATATTAGCAGATCAATGATGGTATTACCGAAAAATCTTGACTGAGTTCATCTACGAACCAATTCTAATGAATTTCAGAGGGAACCGAACATCAGAAATTCCAACGTCAGCATTGAATCAGATAGGAATTTTAGACCAAAGTATCTCGAATGCTGTTAGAACTCTAGTTAACCTCAGCCGTACAGGTCGTTTACCGTGATCTTTCAAAGAATACAGGTGAATTTGATCTCGTAATCAGAGCAAAATATTAGTGCAATTTGAAACATACCGCTCAGCCTTGAGATAAGGAGATTGAATTCCAGTGAATTGCGCTAAGGTTGATCGTGGCCATTGGAAATTCAATGACAATTCAGGAGTGATTGGCTTAATCGTGTCCTATTGTATCATTAAACGAAAGCGATTTGATGAGAAGGAGCGGAGAGGGTGATTGAAATAGTGCTGAATTAATTGTGCTGATAGTGATGCGAGCGACATTGTGGTAGTAAGCTGATCAATGCACACTGAATGTGTTGATATTGTGATATGCCCTGTGGCGATTCATGAAACATTTGTGATAACGCTTGACCAAGTGTCAAATCATTGAATGATAATAGACAGTCTTAATTGTTGCATCAGTGATAATTCAGGACGTTGTATGTGCGTGTGTGTGTGTGTGTGTGTGTGTGTTTAACGCATCTTCATCGCGATCGATGTGACATCTATGGCATGTGTTGCCATGGAATAAATTACATTACAATACACTTCTTCAATGTTAACAGCTGTCGACTGAAAAATTGTTCTGCTCAATGTGTATTGTGTACAACGCTGATTGATGTCTTTCTCGATGTATTTCACGAGAAAAACAGCTGATTTAACAGCTTCAAATTGATTGCACGCTTGCGCTTCCTTCTTTCATATTGTCATTGCTCACTTATTTGCACTAATCAAATCTTTTAGCGACAATCGCCATATCTCAGTCTGTCAGTTGGGAATATTCAGATGGGAATATTTAGAATATTCAGACCTAGACTCTCGCTTCAACTCGAATAATTTGTCTAGCTTCCATTTTCATATTGTTTTCTCATCGTAGGGTGTTAGGAAGGTTTCCACTGAATTTGCTGCAATCGTTTCAGAAATAATATGTTTCAGCTTCAGTTCAATCTGTTTCAAACACGCCATTGAGATGTGATGATCACGAATCCTTTCATAAACAAACAAACAATACGAAATCTTTCGTTGATCACCCTGTATCGAACGTCACCACTTTTGGTGTTACCGCAATTTGGGCGATCCAATGTTTTTGACTTATGAATGATGCATCGAACACAAGCAATAGTCGCGTATTTTTGTGAAATCCTCATCGAAATGCCACTGTGAATGTTCTGAACTTCAAAGACTGAAGTTGCATGATTGATGATACACCATAACATACGTCTGTTTCTAGCATCTAACTTTGAGACCGACTACCATTTACTTGCCTACGAACTGAGTGGTGTCTAATGACAAGCAATTTCTGTTGCAGTGCTTTTAAAGTGGAGTTTTACTGGGTGTTTATGTGGAATATTTGCAGGAATTAGTGGCTACAGGTCCGTTGGAAAGGAATTGGCGAGGTATTGGAATTGCATTGCTCGTGATCGCAATTATGTGTTCACTTATTGCTGCAGCCGTTTTTTTGCTTACCCCATGTGAGTTTGCAAGTTTGCATGAGCAACGAATGGGCGCAATGAAGGCTCAATCAATTTCAACTTGAATGAAATAATCCGCAACTGTGTATCCCACAGTCAAAAAATCTCACTCAAATGTGTTTCGGTGCTTCTTAGTGTTCAATTTAGCAGATTTGATCAGTGTTCTCGTTTCACAAAGAACAATTATTGTTAGATTCAACTTCACTGAGTCGGAACAACGTCTTTCTTGTTCGTTTCAATCGAATGCAATTAACTGATTTCGCAAAATTTCCAGTTAGTATAGCTGCTTACAATGCAAAAACGCCAGTATCATTAAAGGACATCTTAAGTAATGATTTGTTGAGTCCAATCGAGAATTTATATTGGATGAATGGCGACGATATAATCATCAAATCATCCGAAAAGATTCGAGTAATCGATACCACTCAAGTGCCTCCAACCAGTCGCATTTATGCGAACGAAGAAGTTGTGGTCGGTTGTCATTAATCAATTGTTTACTGAAAATTTCTTTGAAATTCAAACATTTCCTGTTCCTGACCACATTGCTCTATTGCACTGAGCATATTGCTCTATTGCAGCAATCGTTGCAGTGCTGTAAACGAAATCATAGTTTTTTCGAAGTTTCATTTCTGAATATAAATGAGTTCTATTGTGACTGCTCACCATCTGTTCGGTTGGAATGTTCAATTTCTGATATGAAACATTTCTCAATGCACATCCTGAAGAAAACGTTGCTTAATGATTGATGAATGTCTTTGACTGTTGCAGTTTTTCGAATTATTTATCGTTACGATGTGATGGATGGTGTTTAATAATAGCATATGTTCCATTGAATATATGAAGGATTTTTTGAATGATGAAGCATTTGTTGGGATTTAACTGAAAATTTGGATTAGTGAAAGTCTTCAGGCAAGGTACGGTAAAGTGAGCACATGGAGTGTTTCACCGAGTGGCACTTATATGGCATTATCGTATGACGACAGAAAGGTTGTCATTTTACAACTCTTTCATTTGCCATTTTCAGTTTTAAGCACAAAAAATATTCGAATATTTCACACAAATAGTTTGACATATTTTTGTGAAAACAGAGAAAAATTTTGTGACATTGAGCGCAACATTTCGCGATAAAATTTTCGGAGATAATTTTCCACTTTTTTGTATGATTGCGTTCTCATAATTCGTTCTTTTTTGAGTGTCTCTTTGATCAATCAACTAATTCATCAATTATATAATTTAATTTGATACTTTCTTTACGGCTAATGTCACAATCATTTAGCGCCACATAGCTTTTGATTTATTGCAAATGACAGCGTTTTTTTCCTGTTGTTGCTGAATTTTTTGGCATTTTGAAATCGAATTCTTCATCGAAACTTTGATTTGACAATCCATCTGTCTGTTCTTTCAATGCTCCAACGTTGCTTGGTAAATAAATCAATCATTTTTTTTGAAGAAAAAAATCTCAATTCTCAAAAAGTCTCATGAATATCTATTTTCATAAATCTATCTTATTATTTGTCTCAGAAGAGATATGAAAAGGTTTGCCAATTGAAGTGGAAAGAATTTATTTGAAATTCAAGGGATTTGCATTCATTCAGTGCTTGTGTCTGCTGAGAATTTCTTTTTTTGCTTTTGTTCAAATGCTCGTAATACTATGAATTTGTTTTATTAGTGGTTAGAAGTAACAATTTTAGTGCTGCAAATGACATCCATATGCCTCGCATAGATATTAAATGAATTCTAATTTTGTACGAATTCAGCTGATAACATTGTTAGGCAATCGCATGCTGATCTAATTTTAAAACTTTGAAAGTTGTTAATTCGGTTTTACTAGCGGTCTTTCCAGTTGAGATGATTGTTGATGTATAATGACAACAACAGCAACAACAAAAGAGCTCCCACTAGTTGACTTGTTAGTATAATATGAAATGACTTTATTCGAAAGAAACGGCAAATATTACATCGTCGGTTTTTTGCATGAGCGATGATGGTTTACGGAAGCGAAAGTGATAGAGTGGATGGATGAGTTGACGGTGATACTGCGGGCACGATGTGAATTTGAATCAAGAATGCATCAGTGATCAATTCAAATTTTCAGCTGAAACGTTATCGCCATTCGCAGTTGGCTCCATTTAAAGTAGTGAACCGAAAAGATACACTCTCTGATAAAATGTTCGTTTATCTGATAAAATAGTTACACATCTGAGAAGCGAATGCCTCTCTTTTCTCATTCTGAGCACTCCACAACTAATCTTCACTGCTGTATAATTGGTAGCACTTGAGCAGCACGCTTTGGGAAGGGCTTTAGCTTTTGATGATAGTGATGCTTGCTGATATTCATATCCTATGACTATCTCTGTCCATTCCTCAAAAACTCAAATAAATAATCAGATGGATTTGTGCAAATAATTCGAAGGAATGGATTCATCCAAATAATACTCATAATTCATGTTTTCCCATAGCAAGATTTTGAAATTTTTGAAAAAAAAACATTCGTTATTTTTTTCTGCTCATAGTAAATTTGAATCGTTGTAATTAGATCGAATAGATCATGAAGTATAGATCATGAATACGGTCGAATGTGTCTAATATGAAACTCAGACAAAGTAGTTTCATTCTGAGTTTATTTGCGAAAGCTCTTTAATCGAGGGTTCCAGCCGTTTTTAAACCATATGAAATTCATATGTTTATTCTTCATTATCAAATTTACTTCTGAGGAAATCCATCTTTTGTTTATTCTTCAATATCAAATTTCTTCGGTGCTTACCGAAGACTTTGTTCGGGGAGAATTTTTTGAATGTCATGAAAAGTAGTCAATAACCGATAATGTGCATAAGCCTTCTGAGAACATGTAAAAAAGTAGGCATCTTATGAGGGCATTCATTGAAGCTATGCAAAACCGTAATGCTGCTTCTTCAACTGACTGCTTCGTCTGAAGATGAAGTCTGGTCAAGATTCTAACTGATTAACGAATAAAATCATTCGAATTCATCATCACTTCTTCCAACTAATAGCTTCAGCCTAACATTCACAATTAATAATTTGAATTCGTGCATATCAACGATAAATTCTTTTGCTATGATATTACCTTAACGAAATGCATATTTATGTAAATATTTGCGAATCTGTTGCAAAATCGCTTTGCAAACAAATAATTTCTTCGTCATTTCACTCTCGTAATCAGCTTAAATCTGTCTCGTGCATTTGAAATAGGCCACTGCTAAACGATTCACATTTGTTGCTTTATCTTCTATTAGATCATCAATCTTGTTCGCATTCATCAATTTTGCAGCGGCTCATTTTTCATTTGCACTCATTTATTCAGTTTGAAACTAAATTTGTTTCCGTTCACTGAATAAATGAATGATACTTCAGAAGCAGAAAAACTTCATCTGTCGTATCTTCGTTTCGAATAATTCGTAAGTAATTGAAACCATTTCTTGTGGAAGTGAAAATCCAGTTAGGTGATGTGTTGTGTGCGTTTTGATGTGTCTGTTTGAAAGTTTTTGGTTGTTGATAGTTTGGTTGTTTATTTTGATCATATCTGTTGTCATTTTGTTGAATTCACCTACAATGCATGATAACAAAGCCTTGGACGTGCCTATTCACCTGAGCATTATTAATTAATCATACTCCATCACATTCTCTTCATGCACCAAAATAACTGCTGATATCCAGTGATACCACTATATCAAGAAGTATCGCACTCCTTGCACTACGCATGTAGCTGTACCTGTTCTGCATCTGTACTGGTATATTACTGAAAATGAAATTGACAAACGGCACATTAATAAATTCTCTTATGAAGGCATCACTGAGAATATTGCATGTTTGCTTTTGGGCTTCGATCGCTTGGTTGTATCGATTTCTAACACTTCAACTCTGATCATTAATTGACTCACAATTGAATTGCACGTCGTATTTTCGAAGATTGCTTTTTATATTTGACTTTGACTTTTATTCAATCAATGCACACCGAGATTGCAACGAAATCAATGACAACGATTTATTTACGAACGATACTAGGCGAGATCTACGTTTATACTTACGATTAGACTCGTCCAGTGCTACTATCCAGAAAAACAAAGCAACTCGGAAATTTTGTAATTCATCAAAATGAGAGAATTCTGCAAAATTTTTTCGTAACAGCAAAATTTTCTCTACAATCTCACTAATTTTCTGTTGACGATGAGAGCAACAAGACCGAAACATTTCAATTTATGCGTTTAATTTTTAGTGTGCATGTGTAGACAATTTCATGAAATGTTTTTGTGTGGTGCATTGAATAGAATTAAACATGTATTTGATTGGTGTATTGTTTCTGAATTATCAGAAGGACAAAAAGATTTTCGAAAATTTTAGCACATTCGAAAACGTCGGTCCGAAACGTACGGGTGACGAGTTGATATCGTTGTTCAAGTGGAATCCAAAATTCGATGAATATGTGAGTACAATAATCTATTGCTTGCCTTGGAAAGTATTCCTCGTGGCACTTTTCCGCGTTGTTGCGTTCGAAAGTCTTTTGTCACTTCAGTTTTCAATGATACAGCGTGAGACAGAAAGACTTCACACACTTTTAGATGAAATAAAATCCCAACGGAATGTATAATCAACAAAGTCTACTCATTTCTTGAATCTACGTGTCATTAGACTTTGTTTTATTTCGTTTTAAAAAGGATGCGAGAATGAGTATGATAAGGCGAAGACTCTGATTGTGAGTCGAAATGAACTGCCGCAGTTGATCGCAGAACGATCTGAAACGGTTGCAGGTTTTCGTTCATGAGAATGATCTCTATTACTGTGACAATCCCGAAACGAGTCAAGCGGTTCGATTGACGCTAGACGGCAGCACAACCGTATACAATGGTATCAGTGATTGGATTTACGAAGAGGAAATACTCAGCTCAAATGCAGTGCGTTCTCCTCCTATAATTACTCCAGCTTGCTTGCGCCAAAGGTTTTTTTGAGGCGCAACCATAATTGCAGGCTTTGTGGTGGTCGAAGTCCGGTGAGTACTTAGCGTATCTTCGTATAGATGATCACCAGATTCCACAAGTCGAGTTCCCAATGTTCAATCACGCCCAATACCCGACAACCGAGAGCGTTCCGTATCCAAAAACCGGTTCCGAACAATTACCTCAAATAACACTTTTCATATGGAGTCGCAGCTTGAGGCAAAGCAAAAAGATGTACATTGGTCTGAATAAACGAAGGTAGGTGTGCAATTCTCATTCTTTTCGTGAATTGCGAATAAAGAGGCTCAACAATGCTCGATCGCAAGTGTAGCGCTACAGTGCTAGTTCATACAAAAGAACTTGTAATTTTCATGAGTAATCTGAATGCTTTCGCTTCCACACTACAGAGCATCTTCTATCTATTTTTATTTCTAAGCAAAAATCTTGCTTGAAATCATGATAAGCTATTCACAACACAAATTATGGAGAAGAACGAAAAAACACTGACTGTGAGCGTTCAGCTTTTGCAAATTTTTTAAATTTAAAGCAGCCAACTTACTTAAGATGAGCTAGAAAAATACTTTCGCATAATTGCGTGTAATGAAAAGTCATTGATGATATTGGTACACCACTCGGTTACGAGCAGAACTTTCCTCCGCGAACGAGAATCGAAGCCGCCACGTACCAATTACCTGTTGGGGCTCTACCTCTGAGCTGTCGCGGAGACCGTTCAGCATCCACCGAGTGGTTGTGTTAAGATCGCAATCAGTTCTTCAATGCACATAATACGAAGCTGAAAGAAGTTATCGTTTCAGTCAGAATAATAATTCTCAGAAAGTATTGATAAACAAGCACAAATAACGATGATATCTGTAATATAAGGTAGGTGCTGATGAATAAAGATATTAAATAGAATAGTAATTGAAGGGATTTTTGTTGCGTTTCAGTTTAATGACATATTTGTATTCGGCAGCATGGGTTACATTGTACAATAAAGACTATTTGATGGCCGTGTTTACGAATCGATATCAAAATATAACATCAATAACAATTTGTTCATTCGAATCTGGGCAATGCCAATTGGTACGTTGCGAACGATTTTGAGCTGTGCTCAAGTGCTGATCTAATGCTTAAATTGAACTGAAGTAACTTATGAATGAGATTGCAGATTCATACCTATTAAAATCCTACGTATTGAAGACGTTTTTGTTGCGTTTCAGTTTAATGATATATCTGTATTCAGCAACATGGGTTACATTGTACGATAAAGATTATTTGATAACACTTTTTATTGACTAATCTGTAGTTTTGTAGAATTACGATCAGAAATATGAAATCGGTGAACACCATTTATGGGCTGAACCAGACGATACTCGTGTGAAATTCTCAACCAACGATGCGTATTTCGTCAATTTACCACATCGTCGACCAAACGGAGAGATTTTCACTCAAGTGGCCAGAGTTTCTGTACCGGTGAGCTACAAACGAATGTTTGTTTCGGTCGTTGCTCTAATTCGTGCAAAAAAACACTCGATTTCGCGAGCATTTCCAGATGAATTGTTGTGATTTTTGCAATAGAACTACTTCTTTCGTCTGATGGAATATTTCATTCTTCAGCCAACACTTACCGATGGTCGTGTGACATTCCTCTCAATGGGTGATTACGATGTCACTTCAATCAGTGCGTTCAATCCGGAAAAAAATCTATTGTGAGCTTTTCAAGCAGTTATCATTTGAAGAATACTATTGATAAAGTCGAAATATGAACGATCCAATCATCACTGAGGCGGAAGGCGAAAGCGAAAAAGAGATGGAGAGATGGGAAAAGGAAGAAAAAAGTGGAAAACCCAGGGTTAAAATGGACGGAGGGAGATAGAATGAAGAAAAAATAAGCATTAAAAAATTCATCCCAAAATTCAGCGATTTTTATGGAACAGATCATTTTGCGACCCCGTCCGTAGGAGAACAATCTTGGCTACGCCACTGGGAAGCATTTGACATGTCAGTTCCCATACTCTGATCGATCCGGTCGTCGATCAGTAACTATATTGAATGTTTCAGCATCTCATCCAAGGATTCATTATATAAAGTTGATCTTTGTTAGACAGTTGATTCTAACAGCCGTTCAGTCTCATTAGTAATCATTACATAGGCGCTTTTGAAACAGTGAATCGTATCGTTACTTGGTCACTTCATAAATAAAGTAAAACTTAATCTTAATCTGTCTCCCATCCAGCGCAACATCATCATCATCATCATAACAAAGAAGTAAACAATGTCTTCAATTTCGAATTTAGTTCAACTCAAGTTTCAAATAATTTATTTCACTGGCATTCCTGAAAACTCTACTGAAATATTTCACTCTGAGATTTTCTCTGACTGCTCCAAAATTTCCTCATTGTTATTTTTTGTGAATATTTCATAATGCGTCAACTACAGTCATCCCATATTAATCTTCTTGTTCTCATTTCATTCATCAGAGTTATCCCATTATCGGGTTTCGTCAATTCGATGATCATTCATCCACATTTCCCTCCTAGAAAGTATTTTTAAGTTGCAGTTTGGATGGCACCATTCACTCATTTCTTCACATTTAGTCATGCATCGTTCTCATACTCCATTATGGATGGAATTATTACTTTCTTTCAGATATTTCGTCGCCGCAGCTCCACTTCCGTCGCAAAGACATATCTACGTGACGTCTGCATCTGCGGTGTGTTAATTCAAATGACGAATTTTTTGCATCACTCCCTAGTGCTTATTACAGTGGTTCTCAACCTTTTTTCCACTCCGCACCCCTAGAAAATTTAGAGACATCCTCGCCCCCCTACAACAATAATTAACATCTCCTCACACCCCTCACAATGTCCACTCTGTATCTCTCATCCACTACTGTAACGTTCCCCGCGCTCGGATGCCCCATTACTCCCTTCAATGGTCTGACAGGCCGTCATTACCCTCCCGCTACAATAATTTACTATTTCCACGTATAATGTCAGAACTAATTTCCCGATCGTATCCGTTACCCCCCCTCTCTCCCCCGACACCCCCGAATCACCCAAAAATGGATCATTCCCCACTCCCTTTGGTGACTCGTGCATTACCGCGAGTGTTTATAACGTAGATAAGTGTATACCATGAAAGCACATTCTAGCCTTTTCAAAATGTTCACTTTAAAGTTCACTTTCGTTTGCACACATTGGTGCAAAGTTGAACTCCGTCCTCGTCTACTTTAATGTAGAAAATAGAACGTTATCTCGCACCCTCTGGAATACCATCTCGCACCCGTCGAGGGCACGAGCATCCCGGTTGAGAAACCCTGGCGTATTGGAATGGTATTACATAGAGTGAAAATTTGAACGATTTGTACAGCACTTGTGCGAACGCGACTTTGTTCAACGATTGATTCATATCAAAGCAATAATATCTTAGAATAAGCACTGAATTTAATGGACGATTATATATCAAAGATTGTAAGTCATAGGTACAGCAGCTTGATAGTTATCATCAACTCATTCTTCAGACATCTGGTGTAGATGAGGCAAAATGTGTCACCTGTGACATCACCCCAAATTGTACCTATCAAGAAGTGACGTTCTCTGAAAATGCTGATAAATATGTATTGAATTGTCATGGACCCGGAAAGCCGCACGTTTACTTATCAAGTATATCATCGAACAATACTATATGTCAGTTGTTAAATCATTTAGTAAAGAATACCATATTTCAAAATTTTGGTTATCATTATTGTAGTTATTATTGTCTTAATCATTATTATTTTCGTAATTAATACTGTTCACGAATTGTTTACAGTGAAAGAATTTGCTGAGAGTAGTGATCTAGAGCGGAAGTACGATGAGAAGGCATGGTCGACTGCACATTACGAGAATGTTACACTTCCAAATGGCTACGGTAAGTTTATTGTGTGCAATGGTGACGTTGATTTGTTTCGATCAGTTTCGCTTCAAACACAGTTCACAATCGCAATTTAACAGTTCGATCATCCATCAGACTTCGAATTTTATCATTTTCAAATCACACAACATTTCAGTGGCACTGGTGAAAATGCTTCTTCCACCCGAATTCAGCAAAGGCGCTTTGGACAGCAAATATCCAGTTGTCGTTTCAGTGTAAGTGAATTAATGTCTTTTTGAGTGTTACGTGCTTTCACGTGCATAAATTTGATGTAAATTGTAATCAGAAAGTCATTGAAAACTTCAAGATCATTGGTCATGTTCAGAGGTGCTGATTGATTGCAGATACGCAGGACCAGGCTCACAGAAAGTGAACGATGAATTTAGTCCGTTCAATTTTCATGAAACATTAGCGTCAACACAGAAATATGTTGTTGTTTATATCGATGGTCGTGGTTCAGGATTCAGGGGCTGGAAGTATAAAGAACCAATCTACGGACATTTGGGCACCGTGGAAATTGAGGACCAGATCGAAACGATAAGGTGTGCGAATTGTATTGATTCAACATTTAGACTCAAATGATTCAAATTTTGCAGATTTCATTTGCAACCTGAAATTTCGAATAGATTCATCAATGTTTTATATATTCGGTCGAAAATCATACGCTTCTTTCAGGATTCTAACAGCTAAACATAAATTCATCGACTCGAGACGTATCGCGATATGGGGCTGGGTGGGTCTCATTGATCTTTGTTTTACAAATCTATTTATATCGGTGTTAGTGATGAAGAAAGGAGCAGCGATTCTGGCTTTGTCGAAATCTATCTTCTTAAAAAGATATCACCATTACTTACCATCGATAACTCGTTATCATTTAAGAGACATTTGTGATATTTTTGCTGACTTGTTTGTTATACATTATATGATTGTTTGAACGCACGCATGAATCATCACTGAAATTCAAGTAATTTTTCTGTTGCAAATTGCTGTTTATCCGCAGAAGGAAATTCTGCAAAACTACTCTAACACATAGATTTTCAGTCATATGGTGGCTTCACAACTGCCCACGTCATCGAACGTGACGATAAACGAACGTTCAAATGCGCTATCAGTGTTGCACCAGTAACTAATTTCAAATATTATGGTAGGTTTTAGATATCATCGCACTAGAATACTTCATTCCGTGACTGATCGCAAATGACGATGACTCTGTTGCATTTGGCTCTGTTCCTTTTGTTCGGGGTATAAATGAAATTGTTTTTCGACGTAAAGACGAGTAGGAGATCACCACACCGTTAACGATCATCTTGAGATGTTTTATGATTGTTTTTAGATGCCACATATACGGAACGCTATATGGGCGCAGCAGATGAGCTAGCTTATGAGAAGACCGATGTGATGCGAAATGTTTCTGCTTTTAAAGATGTTCAGTTCTTGTTGGTACACGGAATCGCTGATGGTATGCTGTTATTTCACTGAATTTGTTGAATGCTCAAATTGATTCCAGGATATGATATACTGGAACGAAACTGTGTAATTTTATAGATGTCCAAAAACATTTCTTTTCTCAAGTTCGACTAAATTTCAATTTCAGTTCCATCAATCAATAATCGATACCATTTTTCAGATAATGTTCATTTGCAAAATTCAGCCGAACTGATAAGAGCGCTTGCCGAGGAAAATATACAGTTTGATTTGATGGTACGTATTCGATTGGCTTGACGATTGATTCATTTGAGAAAATTGTTATTGTCATTGTTACTGTTTTCATGATCATCACCATCATTTCGTCGCTGCTATCAAATATTATTTGAATGCCACTGTTTGTTGAGTTTTTTCGTTATTGATTCAATTGCACTACTCCCAAACAATGCTCTACATCAGAATGGATGTGAATTTGAAGAACTCTTCCAGTTACCGTCACAAAAATGCATTTTTCAATTCCAGGTATATCCAGATGCGGCTCATGGACTGTCATGGGCTCGTGCTCATCTTTTCACAATGCTCACCGACTTCTTCAAAAGATGTTTCAACAGTTCGGACTCGTAAATTATGTATTAATTCTTCTGTGATCGGTTCTTTGCCTCATTTCTGAGTCGTGCTCTGAGAACGCCGCTCGCAATAAGATGATGATTTCTCAGTTTGAAAATGCCTCTGAAACACCGTCGTATTGCTGTGGTATTTGTTCATAAATGACTCAAGTTTCTTTAGAGAACCAAATATTTTTGGTAGGTTCGAGTCGCATAAACGCATCATAGTGTTCCAAAGTACAGCTACTGAAAATAAATTGGTAATGATCACTGTAGTTGTCAATGAAGCGATTACAAACCGTTGTTGTTTTGGGCTTAACGTAGAAATGAACTTAACAAGCTAAAATGATCCAACGGTTTTGTTCAGTGAAAAGTGTGTGACTCAGAAATGAGGAACCAAATATTTATTCGGGAATTCTTTCAGTTAGTGATGTTGTTTTTTTTGAATCGTTGTTTTGCTTATTTTGGGTCTTTCTCCATATTATGGAACTTTTGTTACGCTTTAAATTGTTCGATTGACTTGCTAAAATAATATTTCTTCTTTTGAAAGTCTTCAATCTCTCATTCATTATTTATTTACTTTTTAAATTGTTGTTTGTTAATAGTGATTCCTTTATTATACAGATTTACGGCCGTATATGAAAAATTCTATTGATCAGGAATATTCTATTAGGTTGATGGATATGTTTTAGCCGTTTTTATATTTGTAAACGAGTATTATCGTGTAACACGAATTATAGAATAAGCGAGGAGTGATGTGGAGATATGAAAGCATTTTGATTTGGAAAATTTCCACACATATATTGATGCATTCGGTACGAAGATCATTCAGGTTGAACCGGACGAGTCATCCGTTTCAAAAAAAAAATCTAAATGTTTATGGAAGTGAACAAATCTATCACGAAAACAATCATGAGAGATGAGGATAGCAGTGAAGCAATGTCAAAGATAACTCCGATAAATTGCAATGTGATGCCAACATAGTGTTTTTTTAGCGGAGTTCAACTAGTTTCTCTGGCTGCGATATGATCTGCTCGTGAGAGTGAGTCAGCTCATTGTTTCCATCAATTGTATAAACACTGTATTTATTTCTTTCTTGTTGAACAAATTACATTATGAATAAATCGGATATTTATTTTTGCGATATTGTTTGTTGTCCAATTATTATACTGTCATTTCATTATTATTCTTATTGATCACAGTATCATTGTCATGATTTCTTAATGTAACGGATTGCAAAACTATCATCAAAGGGACAATTTCTAACAGCATCAGCAAGAAACCAATCAACCACATGCGGTACCGTGACGGATAAGTTTCCCTTTCAAAATGCATCTGAGCCAACGGTGCTGATCGTGAGACATTCAACGACATGATGTGTGATAAGGATCTTTGAGATGAATTTTAACTGGAATTTCATTCCCTTGACAACATAAGCGCAAAATTAAACCTTTCCATAGGTTTGCACTTGAGCGTAAGAATAGAGCTGAGCTTAAGCATGAGCCCTATTCTACGGAATGACACTCACACTTCAATGTGAACGACAGCACATACACATTTCTGAAACTAGAGAATCTCCTGGAACCGATTTTGAAAAGAACTTGCGAACTGCTGAGCAAAGTTGAGGATACGGGTGTTCTGAAAATGGGACACGTGATATTCCTGCAGAACCGTATCATTGATCATGGCACAGAGATCAAATGTGCAGAGTTTGGCGGCATCATAGAATGGTTCAAGTAGTAAGTATATCTCTCGAATCAAGCAGAATCCGTGGACAATATATGATATTCTGGATGCTAAGAATCTGCTGAATCTGATGCTAACAATAAATCATGGTATTGCTGGTAGTTAGCAGTTAGAACTTGAGAGCACGGTTAGTTCGAAAATGGTGCTCGTGATATTCCAGTGAATCTGTATCATTGATCACACTATAGTGATCAGATGCGCAGAACTTGGCGGTATTATAGAACGGCTCAAGTAGTTTGACATGTCATCAGAAAATCAGTTATATATCTTGAACAAAACAGTTATATATCTTGAAATCAGTTATATATCTTGAACAAAATTTATCGGCAAAGTTTATGATATTTTTGAAGAAGAAATTCTGAGCAATTGAATGCTGCAAAGAAATTCATATGCTACCGGGCAAACCTGCTCAACTACCTTTAAGTAGTGTTGGGAACCGCCAGACTTTTCTCGGTGGTCACCGGCCGAGAGCCCTGTCGGTGAATACAGCAACTCGATATTCATCGACCGCATAACTTTGAGCATCGGTCGGTTGCCGATCGGTTGTAACCGCCTAACGGTTTGCCACCGCCACCGACCCGAACACGCTCTGGAGGTTGCGGTCGGTGGTCACCGTCTGGTCGGTAATCACCGCAACTCGGTATTCACCGACGGTCGGGGACCACCGCAAAACCGTCGGTGATTACTGACCGATTTTCGGTAGTCAGCGACCCAACACTACCTTGGACAGCGTAACGCCTTTAATGCATGCGTACAATTGATCTATAGAGATACAATGTATATGATGAAGCGTCTCTGCGCTAATTGAGATGGCTTTAGGAAAATAAAGCCATCTCAATTAGCGTAGAGGCGATTTAAGAAAATGGCTATATTTCCTCAGGAAAGCAAAATTGCTGGACAGCATGAATAAAATGCCTATATCTCCTCAACTAAGCCAAATTGCTCAGAAAAATTTTTAATATTCTTAATCTAGAGGTTCTGCTGGATGGAACGGTGAAAAGAAATTCGCATGTTTCTGGGCAAGCCTGAGAAGACGGTTAGCTCGAAGATCGCAATCCGCCTATGCTATATGAACGTACTATCTGCTCTATAGTGATCAATTTGTATGAATGAGCGCGACTACGCTATCTAATTGAGATAGGTCTAAGAAAATGGCTAAAATCTCCTCAGGATCGACAAGGCATATGTTTTTCTGAATGAGGAGACCCAGTTGGATCGACTGATGCAATAAATTCATATGTACCGGGCAAACCTGAGAGTGCCGGTACCTTGAAAATCGTAGCGCCTATAGCGCTATAGCAATGTGTACAATTGATCTATAGCGATAATCCGTCAAAACAGGTTCCCAGGATTCATAATTTAGATATATAAATTAGAATAAAATAAATAATTGAAAATATGAAGAATAAATATATTATCGACGGACTTTGCTGAATTCAGCTCGAAATTTGTTGAGTTCAGTTATATAGCTGATTTTATAGTGTGACCAATGATGCACTTCTACAGAAGTATCGCGAGTAACATATTCAAACTACCTGTACTCTCAAGTTTGTTGAGAATCATTTATATCTTCATGAAATTCTAACTTCGATCATTGACTTGACGAGCATACTGCGCAATTATTTCTGGGGAGAGGCACTCAAAGTGAGCCCGAAAAACATTGCAACTGATCGAGAGAACACGTGCTCAATAATTACTCAGAATAGCTGTTTGAAACATTCGACCAATTATCTTATAGCTGTATGTGGGTGTATGTTGCGATGCGCATTTTTAAATAGCGTTTAAGATAATAGGAAAGTAAACCGATAATAAAGTAAATAACATGAACAGATGAATAACTGACCGAAATAATAGGCAAAAATACGGTAACACTGTAGGACGCTTCGGCGTTAGAACGCCATCATCAGCTACTGTATTGCTTCAGCAAGGTTATATAATAAATCAACTGAAACGAACTATTACTATTACTAATTACTATTACTGTTATTAGTATTACTACTATTACTATTATTATGACTATTACTATTACTATTACTAATACCACTATTCATAAGGAGTTGGATGAGTAACGAGCAGAGAAAGGTCGAGGATTAATGTTGTTTAGATTGAGATATGAATGGAATAATGGTTGAGACACACTAAGAGCTATTGCTGAAGTAAAACGATGTAGTGAATATGATGATAATACGATATGCGCCTCTTGAGGTTGCACACTCCATTCTTGTTCTCGCAATCTCACAATTATCTTTCTCTCATCTTACAACTATGTATTCAGTCAAATCAAAACACAGCACAGAGCAATGTCGCATGTTGACCAACCCGTTCATCATTGAATGCGTTGATGTGAATGGTAGCGGATTGCAGCGACTCATAAACTTACCTGGCTGGAAGGTTTCTGCGAACAAGAAGGCAGAACCTTCATGGCGAGGCTGCACCATTGCACTTCTGGTGCGGTTGACCCGTGTGGCAGTTCCGGATCGGAATTCGCCAACAGCATAATTTTTGCGTTTGGGGACAGCGTTCGCGCTTCCCTGCTTTAATTAACAATGGAGTTCAGTGCTTCATGGAACTATGGAGTTCAGGTGGGCCCAAATGCGACCAACTGGAATACTACACTCACGAATGGTAGCATCAATCTATCATTTTCAGATAAATGCCAACTTTTGGTGCAGTTATATGGCTATGGAGAAAATGATTGTGCGTTGACGGTTCAGAATTTTCACCGCTCGATCAGGAAAGTTTTGCTCGCAACCGAATGGAGTGCCATTATCATCGATATCACCAAGTCTAACCCACCTCGCTATTATTTCGCTTGTATCTAATTATCGATTCAGAAGTTGATTCAGAACACAACATCAAACAAACGAAAATTCAATCATGTAACAAAAGTGAACAAATAATCAACTTGCTTGGTTGGGAGGACTGAATGTATTTGATCAACATCTAACGCAGCTAAACAAAATTACATCAGTTGAATCTTGAGTCTAATTGTGAGACTTGGCTTCATTGAAGGAAAGTTTAACTTTCTGATTAAACTGATCATATCTATGCAATCGCGGGAATCGCTCCCTAAACCTCTGCGACTAAACCTTCCAAATGGACAGACACAAGCTCGGACTGAAAAATCAGACTGAAAAGCAGACAGAGTTTGGTAGCAATATGATGCCTATTGTGAATGATTAAAGGCATTTTTTTGTAACACTGATTAATGATATTGATAAAAAATCTCGTATCACTGCTAGCATGTACTCTCGTCTTTCGATCCGCACTCTCTACATAAAACACGCTGTTTAATCAGTAGCCTTTTTCACTGCTGCACTTTGATTCAACCCGTTCATCATTGATTGTGTTGATATTAATCGTAGCAGATCGCAGCGGCTCATAAACTTACCTGGCTGGAAGGTTTCCGCGATCAAGAAGGCGGAACCTTCATGGTGAGGCTGTGCCATTGCACTTTGGGTGCGGCTGACCCGTGTGGCAGTTCCGAGTTGGAATTGGCCAACAGCATAATTTTTGCGTTTGGGGACAGCGTTCGCGCTACCCCGCTCTGGAACAAGTGGTCGTATATTGGGCTCCGTATGCGTCGAGAATGACACCCAAGAGTCTGCTTTCATGCAGTCATATATGGGCTACTGAATAGGGTTTGCAAAATCCCCACAATTTTTCAATCTCGGGATCGGATTTAATTCTGGGATCGATTTTTGATCCCGGGATCGAACAATTATTGAAATATCGATGCGGGACATGTTTAAACACATTCTTTTCGAACCAATATGTTCACTATTAATCAGAAAGGAGCTAATTTAACAAATTATTGAACAAATCCGAGGAACTAAGTATTCAAATTCAAATTAATATTTCATATAATAATGCCAATGATCATATCGCAAGGGCGCACTGCATATTCTATGCTAAGGCATCTTGTCATCTCGGGTCTAATCTAATAACAGTACGCTTGCATGTGAATATGAAATTCTTGATTCTGAAACACTCATTTGCAATGCTTCAAGTCCATTTTCTCTCAGTATTAACCACAGCTGAATTCTGCCGTTTCGGAAGTTTTGATTTATTACGGAAAAAATGCACCGCATGAATTATGTCATTTGAATTTTGGAATAGTTAAAAGTTCGAAGTTTATCTAAAAAGGTAAAAAAATATCCGCAATGGATTTTCATCGAACCATCGAGCACTTACATATTCGATAATTTCGATCAAAAATCATGCAAATGTACTTGATATTCAAGCTTAACATTCTTTTGAACGGAACAACTTTGCTCACTTCGGCAATGAATTCTCAATATGAATAATTCAGTGAGAATTTATGTACATTTTGATCGTTTCCAAATAGCGAAGTAAAAAGACTTGCGTCTTTGGAACATGCAGTTGAATTAACAGATGGAATATCGAAGCCGAACAAATCTTGTGGAAGGAAACGACTCAAAATTTCATTGAACTTTGTTGCTCTTGGTTTTTATTAGAAAATGTGATTATCTCTGTTAGTCTACTAAAAAAATGCATCCAGATGAGGGTGATAAAAACCAATGAAGAGCAGAATAATCAGTTGAATATTCAATGAAATGTTACGTAAAAGTTCATCGAGCTGTCGTTGATCATGTCATTCATCCGAATTGCGTCTATTTTCTTAGGTGAACATCAATGATAGAGGGCAAACAGTAAAGATAACTGCACATAAATTAGATGCGAATGATTAAGGCTTGCTTCAAGATGGGCGTGCTATCAAAATGCACACAAATTGACCTGCTTTATCAAATCCCGGGATTTTTCAAAACTCAAATCCCGGGATCGGGATCTGAACTGTAATCCCGGGATCCCGTGCAAACCCTACTACTGAATAAATAACTGACAGTTTAAAATTTTTGCCGCTCAACGAGGAATATTTTGCTGGCAATCGAATGTCACTGAATCTAACCACACCCTGACTCCGCTTGTATCTAATCATCTGTTCAAAATCACAACATCAAATAAACGAAAATTTATTCACATAACGAAATAAACATTCGAAAGCCATAAACACGCAGTACGTTTGAACTGTTCAATAGAGTTAAACTTAAATGAACAATTTAAAAGCACAAACTTACAATCATTTGAATCTCACGTGCATTTGAATTATAATGATATTGAATAAATTTAAACATATTGAATACATTTCAATTATTCTTGTCCATCTATAGCCACAAACTCAATCTTCATATATTTTCACATGAAAAAACACAGCTTCCATTGAACGCATATTTAGAAATGTTCATGAAAATGACAAAAATCTGATTGACCATAGTCACGAAGTTGGAACGACAGAATTGAATAGATCAAATATAATATATAATGAAATGGAAAGCTGAACAATAAGCGATGAAATGGAAAGCTGAACAAAAAGCGATAATCATAACTTTTAACACATACACGAAACAACCTTAACAAATGATGCAGTCTTTTGTATCGTGTGCGCTAACTTTTGAACCGACTGAATTGATGTCCTAGCAATTAGTGAACGTTGAACTTAATGTGAAGCGATAAAAACTCAACCGCAACACCAAACGTATTCCTACGAAAATCTTGATTCATTGCAGATTAGATGCGCAATTTTCAGCAATGAAAACTCGAGATTTTACACTGCACAGCTGCGTTGAGGATTCCCTAATGTGTTCGAAATTTCAGCATATTTGTCATCATCTCCAATGTTACTATAGAGAATTACTTAAAGTTAAGGTCCTGGATGGTGTTTTTGTGAATTAAACAAAATTTCTGAATCGAAAATGGAAGAAACTGAATTACTTCGGAGAAAACGTAATTCAATGTAAACGCATTCCCTTTACGTGAGATTAAATACGTCTCTATACTGAACAGGTGATTTTCACCAGGTGCACTTCACAGATTGATTGATTTTCACCAAAAACTGCTGGTAAAATAAGAACACGTGCATTGATTGGTATTAACATTAAAGAGCAACTCCAACAAAACTGACGTAACTTCAAATAAATTCATACGAACGGAACAGATTTATCTCATTCTTTTTCCATTTCCTTGCTGATAAAATTGCAATATCACGAAAATGCTTCTGCAGACATTTTCTTTCTTATCTTTCACAAAACTGTCACAAAAACTAAAAGATGCAAAAAAACGTAAATTACGATGCGGCTTTGATTTTTAAGCATTTTTACAGAACAATTTTCACAAAGTCTCTTAAAGCGATATAGGTTACCGTTACAAATGCAGCTATAGCTACTATAAAAGAATTCATTCCCATACAACAACTTCAACCATTCAAAACAAAAACATTCGTAAAAATCTCAATATTTCGGATATAAAACTGCTTTACTTATCCCTTATCACACACAAATAGATCTATCAGTATTCAAATCAACAAATCAGCAACCTATCACTTCCAGATGCAAATCTCAAGCATTACGCCAAGCAACAAACACCATCAAATGCAGCTATTAATAATCACATCAGTAACTCAAATACAATATCCATATGCGACCTTCATTTCTTGATTTTTTAATAATTGAACAACGCCAAGCGATCAAAACAAGACAAACAAATCATATCGATCGATGAATTATCATTTCTGTCAATGAAAAGTTGTGAGAAGACAATAAAACGGAATATAATTCAAATGAATTTATCAAAAAATCAACTGAAAATCTGTTTACAATGTTAAAAACGATTTCCCGAAAAGCAATATAAGCAGCACAACGGCACAAAAGTATGCAACAAAAAACAATTCGTCGGTTGAATATTGGAATTACTTTGCTGACAAACAACTGAATATTTCTTCGTCAGTTTACAAATCAATAGAATGAATAATGACTATATGAATAAATGAATGCAGTCTACATAAAAAATGATTCAATTGCCAGATGACTCAGTCTCTATCGTTGACTTATTGCGTAGCCGGTGGTTGGCCAGCACCCCACTGCTGTTGTTGTTGCTGCTGTGGAAGTTGAGGTGGTGGGGGGAATTGACCGTAAACTGAAAATAGCTATCTGATTTACTAATGCCGTCACATGAACGCCATCGGTTGAGCTGTAAATTCGATGGAATTACAAAATTTCGTTACAGTTTCCAGTTTGAGTGGTTCGAAGACCATCCGACGACTCTAATCAATTATCATATTATTGACTGATGTCGTCAGTAAATAATGCGATAATTGATTGGAGTATTGATAGTTATCATATTTATTGATGCCATCAAAAATCAGCGATATCCTAATTATTGCAACAGAACATTTGAGATGTTGAACAGTAACGATTCAGAATCACACAAACACAAACACACAACTATCAAAAGCACAACAAAAATGAAGGTGAAATACAACATTAGGGTACATTACAATGACCATATCCTCTCTAAGCCAATTCAATACCAAATCGCTAACTCCTCGAGGTACAGCAGACTCAGCATGAATCCAACCCCAACGCTCACTCTCAGGATTACTGCCTATGGGTCAATTGAGCCGAACTGGCCTTTACTGACTCTTTGCCAAGCAACAGTAAGTTTGGGATAAAACAACGTAAAAATGGCGAGACTCAAAAAACGAACGAACAGTGAATCAATCACACGATAACAATAACAGTACACAACGAGTACAGACCACTCACCATGCGGAGCGAGATTAGCACTGAATGCACCCGGATAAGTACCTGGATACGCGATTGGATACGGTGTGGTGTAGTTCTGATTGAATTGCGGTTGCATGTACGGCACTTGCTGTGGCGGTGCGTACATGTACGCCATCGGTTGAGCTGTAAATTTGATAGCATTGCACAATTTCGGTACAGTTTCAGTTCGAACAGATGATTCAAAGACCATCCGACGACTCCAATCAATTATTCAGTTATCATCAGATTATTTCGAATCGAAAATTGTTGGAATTAAAAATTAAGCAGAAAAAACGCAAAAACAATCAATTTGATTGGAATCAGTGGAAATTTTCATCGAAGAATTTAGGCAAAAGAAATTTACGATATGAAACATGCGCGCGAAATTTGTTGTGAAGAAAACGACATGCGAACAGAATGAAAAATAAAAATCGGTCAAAGAGAATATCAGAAAGTTTAAATTGAAAGGATATTGTGGCAGGCACAGCGAATGCAAAATAAAGAAACGTCTAAATTAGCAGTGTGCAATCTGATTATCGAAATCACAGTGCTGAAGGATGCTTTTCTTGATGGTGCGGTCACGGATATGCACCAGAAAAGGGACGACGGAAAGACGAACACAACAAAAGTCAAATACGACAGCGTTATGCTTGAGTCTTCACAAAAACAATCTACCGAAAGGTTGTGGTGTATACTGTAGTTGTTGTGCCTGTCCATATTGTGGATTACACTGTGGCGCTTGATAGGCTCCTGTTTGAGGTGGTACCGAAGCATCTGGTACTGTGGCTGTTGCTGTTGCTGCAGTTGGAGTAGCTGAAAAAATATTGTTCGCGAAAATATATTCATCTACAATTCATCAACAATACACTGCCTAATGCATATGGTGGAGTGCAACATTCGAAAAATGAAAATAGTTTTTTGCACGAAGTTACAGCACCAAAAAGAGGCGATAGCTTCAAAACAAAACAACAAAAAAAAACATGCAAACATAATGAGAAATATTATATTAGACCAGTCTTCACAGAAAATTTCAAAAAGTTTCGATTGAAATGATGTTATGGCATTGCGAACGCAAAATAAGGGAACGTCTAAACTCCCAGTATGTGCAATCTGATAACCTATCAAAATTCACATGCAAACATGCAGAAATAGTAATGCAAACATGCTATCAAATGCAAAAAAGGGCATTGCATTAACATATCAACAGTGTAATTAGACGGCAGATGTGGAACGCAACGAAACGAAACATACCGTTTAGGGAGTTCACATTTCGCGGTGGAGGGATCGGTGCTTCGTCGGCTTGATCGAATGGATTGCTCTGTGGTTGTTGTGTCTTCGGTGGAGGTGGGCGAGGTGGTGCTGAGGCCGACGACCCTCCGCTACTTGAACCTTAAATTATCATGGCTCGATCATCCACATCCGATATCATACACATGAACAAATGAACAAATGTTAACGGACGAATGCGATTAAATTCGAAATCTTTAGAAAGCATAATCTACCCACAATTACTACTCGAATGATAAAGAATTTGATTGCGAACAACAACTGTAGACTGTTAGGAGACTGTTAAACAGCAGCGTGATGCCAGACAATACAGCCAATAATCATACATATTAGTAGGAGTGCAGTGAAAAATTAAGAAAATGAAGCGTGCAGAACGTAATTCTTCTGCAAATGATTATGCATTTAGTTACAGATGGATACGACAAAATTAATTCCATAGTAGTACAAAAGCTTTATAAGTCAGCAATTTTAACATCAAACTTTTTCACAAATTTCAGCAGAACCTTCAGTCTCGAAATTTTTGAAAGACACAAATCACTTTATGTTTTGGGCTGATAAATTGTGGGACTAGCAGAGAACAGGAACAAATAAGCAAGTGATTTCAAATAAGCCAAACATATATTATACCCCACCTTCAGACAAGCCACTCACATTCACTTTTGTTGCCAGTTCATCGATATGTCGGTGCACTATTTTGGCCGCCTTTGTCGCAGCTGCCTCTAGGCCTAAATTTGCCAAAAAACGAAAGCATGTTTCGTTTAAAAATTGCTTTTCGAAATTGCAATTCTCGGAAATATTTCTCAGTTGGCTGAATTTTTATTCAGCCAACGTTCGTTCATTCATCAAAAACAAAATAAACTTTTGAATAATAAACTCTACTGAATAATCTTTTTTCAACAATAAACTATTGAAACTCTCGTAAGATGATTTAAGATTCACGCATGACATTCACATCATAAATGATATTTAATGTTCAAAAGCAAAATTGAGAGACTCTCATTAAAATGCCACATTACATCGATCATTTTCTCGATCATGGATAACATTTTATTTGTAGAAAAAAACCTAAAAAAAGAAAAAATGTGCCACCACGGAATATTACTATTTCAGCAATAACTCCAGCAAAATGAATGCTCAAAAAATCGAGTCACTGCTGGGAAGTGAAAGCAGAATAATAGAGGGAATGAAAAGAAACACGTCTAAACTGAAATGAAACAACACCATTCAAAAATTAAACGAAAAGTTGAGCATTGGTTCATATCCACAACGTTGCGTTCCTCTCCAACAGATCCGTCCGTCCTTTCACGATAAGGTAATTATGCGAATGACAGTGCACAGTGCTTCTTTCAACTCAACAGTGCTGTGCAAAAAATCAAAAAATGTGCTGCTCAGGTTTATGATCAAAAATAAAATTGAACAAATCGAACAATCAAATAATAAACGGATAGCCAACACCACGAAGAGAGTTTTTGAAAAGATTTTCCCAAAAGCAACGAAAACAAACAGCCGCTCAGAAAACCTCCAACAAGTTGGAGCCCTCTCTTCCCTCTTGGGATGAATATTATCGCACCGCTCCCTCCTCACCAATTAAAACATGCACACATTTTCAGTATCAAGATTATGCAAAAATTATGCCTTGATTAAAACAAATAAATCAATTTGAAGTGGTGAAATGGAACAAATATTTCGTGAAGTGCAAAATAAATCAGGATGTGTAATGACTCGTCGCTATGCTCGCTCATAATCAAAAGATGACTTATTATCACGACTCGGATATCGCAAACACTCACTATCATATCGTAAACGTCCTCTTTGTGTTTAGTAGAAATTTTTTGCATATGCATGACCAGCTTAACGAGCTCTACAAAATGATATATGTCTCATCCCGAAAGGTGGGGTAAGTTCGTGACCATTCCTCGTCAAATTGTTTCCATCTTTCCTCATACAACAAAAATAAGTGACAGTGCAGTGCGATGCAGCAGCACACATAAAATTGCCTGTTTTATTCATCGTTTGCATCAAATATTATCACCGAAACGGCAGCCAGTTCAACATTTCACTCTCAGCAACGGACCAAATGCTTCTCCAATCAAGTTCAAACTCTCTCTCATTAAGCATACGCAAGAATAGGGAACGACCAGCCAGGAACTATTGGGCAAACAAATGTGAGCATAATGCAGAAGGAAGATTTAACTTCAAGACGTGTGTCATCACCTCAAAAAGTGCATATTTTCACATGTTATTCAAAGCTATGGATGAAAAGCACAGACCCAACAACCCAGCAGAATATCGTCAAATTGTGAGACGAAGCAAAAATAGCGCTCAAAAACGAAACTATATGAGATTCACAAACCAGAAACAATATTTTGTTGGAGCTGCTTCATGAGATCCTCTTTTTCGGTTTGACGTGCGAAACAGAAATCTGACACTTTCTGCTGGAGACGCATCAACAACGGTGTTAGGTCATTGTAGAACTGAAATGCACTTACATTTCACTTATCATCAAACATCTCATTTCGCAAACACGAAACTTCAAACTCAATCAACGCTTTTGCAGAAGACAAAAAGAAGAATACACCGATTTGCACTTACAGAAACAAATTTCACATCGTATGAAAATTACTTCCATAACTTTCCGACTGACTTTTCAATGGAAAATTCTCGCTTCATAAGTATTCCTAAACTTTCATTACACATCTCAAGAAAACGAATATGAAAATGTCAGTGAGGATGCATGCGTGAGTGATGTTATGTGACCACCTTAGTTCCTTCTTGAAGATTCGACTTAATCTCCACATATTTATCGTGACCATTAGCGAGCATCTTCAGAATGCGCTCACGTTCTGCTGCACTCGAACTACCCGCTCGCTCAGCCGTGAATTTCTTATTCCATAACTGAACAACGGGTGAATGAAACGAATACTTTATATTACTACGACATTGAATAATAATCCAGCAATACCTATCAAACAATAACAATGAATCGCAAAAGAAAGTATACCATTGTCCATAAACTGATTAAAAACTTTTTGCCAAAGTATAATATAATCTTGCGTCACCGATCTCAAAACTTCAGCACACTCCGAACAGCTTTCAATTCAAAAGACTGCCACAAAACTGATTCGAATAAAAATAATTAACCACCTCAGTTTCTCAACTCACCTCAATATCAGCCAGACAACTTTCTTGTTTTTTCACACTTTCCACTACTTTCGCCCTCAACGGTGCATAGATCTCGTTAATTTTCGCCGTTGAGAGTTGCTCTTCATTCAAGATCTGACTATCGGCCATCGCTTTGAGGAATGTCGATGACATATCGCAATGAACCGCAGCAAATTCTTTCTCCATTTTCTCACGTTCAACCTGAATATACGACTTTAAAAACATCAAAATTTGAGATTATTTCGTTTTATAGTTTCCGATAAATTCACCACATAAAATTCATTCAACCATACAATTAATTCCCAATGAGAATATGATCAATTTTGTAATGAAAACATTGACTTAGTCAATCTGAAATTCACTTACTATGGTAACAATGATGAAATTTTGGCGGAAAATATTCCTTAAAAAATGGAAGAGATAAAATTTTCAAAACATCAACAAAAATTCGAAAAGTTTCCACACGCCAACAATCGCATGAGTTAGCATCTCAAAATGGCATTCGATAGACCGAAGGAAGGTAACCTTAATTTCTTGAACAGTGTCCATCAATGCTTTGAGTTTTTGTACAGCTTCCGAATTTTGATTCACATTTTTCGGATCCAATCCGGGAATCGCAGCTCTGCAATGAAACTTTCGCATCAAGATATTAACAATCAGCATCAATCTTACTCGGACATTCATATAGTCACCCCTTTATCCTTGCAATCAGATGAACGGAAACATTCAAATGACAATTATCAGATTTCCAATCGATTCAACAATAAACCAAATAAAGCCTGATTACTATTACTAGACGAAGAACGAAACGAAAAAGTTGAGTTTGTTGTGAATCAATCGTTTGGCTAATCGCTTATTCACGATAACATAGAGAAGAGGACGCTCACGTTCGTATTCGTTGATTATGAAGTGTGAATGAATGAACAACAAGCACATACCTGAGTTCAGGTTCAGGTAGGCTGAGCAGTTTGACGGCTTCACGACTTTCCTCCATTTTTTGTTTGACAATCTGATCAGCGTTCGTCGCAGCCTGTAGAATACCGCGATATTTGCCGATCTCTTGATGCAGAGGTGCGGTGAGCTTATCGGATCCCATACGAGTCCATTTATCTTTGAATTGAACACGCAAACGATCATCACTATCTTTTTCTTCAGCCAAAAGACGTGAAGTCTGCAAGTGAATGAAAATAATTTGCATCTACCAACGACAAAGAGTACATTCCTCTGTAACGCTAAAACAAATCCAAGAATTGAGCATACTTTCAATGTAAAATGAAGGCAAAGGTAAAACTGCAAAAAATTCGAAACCGCACCTCATCTAGAATCTCTTGATTTCGTTTATAAAGATTCGGCAGATCAGCGATTAATGACGTAACCGCATCAATACCACCCAACGACTTCACTTTCGACGACTTCTGCCTGATCGACTCGGGTAATGCCTCTTGACTGGTCGCATCGTCCAGTGCAGCCGGAAGATTCAGCGATGCTAAGATACTAAAATCACCAAAAATTGAATTATTTGACGGCAATGATCAGCGCTTAGCAACCACAACATTCAATACATCGTACGATAATAGCAACAAGGAGCTTAATAATATCAATATCAATAATAAGAATAACAATAATAACAATAACAATAAATTGACAACAATCCACACCCATTCATGATCTGTGTATATTCCCTCAATCTACCAGTTTCCATATTAACAACTTCAGCCTTACGAGCGTCGTACGAAGCCAATGCGGAGTGTACTTGTACGGGGACAAGCGATGAGAACATATCTGAATATACAAAACGCGCAATCAAATTCTGATTTTACATTTGCGAGGCAAACTTCATGAATCGCCAAAACAATTTCATCTCCAAAACAAACCCTCGAAACTAATAAAACTAATAAAAATGAACGATTAATAACTGATAAAATCAAAGGTCACTTCATTTCCAAGCATCTTCTAATGACGATGAAATGACAAGAACGCACCTTTGAATCGCGGTGTCATCGGGAAGTTCACTGGCAGCGGTTTTGCAAGCGTTGCCTTCGGTAAAGCTGGTAGAGAGCGGAAATCGGCAATACGTTCGTGGTACTGAAACGAATTGAAAACGGCATCGCAATAAACTCATCCAATAGAAATCACCTCAAAGTTTGTGAATCAACTCGATGTTGACAACAAATGAACTGAAATCTGAAACTCCAAACTAACTGACAGAAATCTATTAAATTTCGAGAAAAGACACACGTCTCAATGAGTACAAACAACCATCTTGCATATATCCAAATACTAAGCGTGAAATAACAATGATATTGTCACAAATAATGATAAATACAAAAAATTTAGACTCCCAATGCGCAAGAAAATCATTTTCGATGAACATCTAACAGAAATACAGTGACAAAAATGGCACAATGAAGCAACAGTAAGAAGAAAACAGACGACTAACAATGAAATCGTTATCTTTTTTTGCAGTTTGATACGCCTTCTGAATGATAGAAGTTTGTGTGGAAAATGCTGACGACGGCAGGTACCCATTCGCTTGACTGATCAGTGATTGAGCTTCCGTAAGCCTACTCAACTGTTCACCTTAATTCAGCAAAAAAAAATTAATCAACAGATTTCATAAATTCCATAAATTAACAACACCCACTAATGACTGAACAAAGTGTCATTAATAGTGCCCTTTATTGAAATTTGAAAAATTAATGAATTTCAAAAAGAGTTTGGAAACTTCATGCAACAATTTCATAAAAGCAAAAATTTCGCAAAACTTCACAATCATATCCCTGAAAAGTGCGGAATGATAAGTGCAGCATTCACGACATCACAACATCCACAATCACCATAGTGTATCACATTATTTAAGTACACTCCATGATGCACTCAAAAACAAAGGGTACAACAAAAAAAAAGAACGGCAGCAAACCAAAAACGAACTGATTTGTTTCGAGTCAGCACACACCATTGCTTGATGATACTGCGCAAGTGCTGACATTGCCAACGACTTACCAGTCACCGTATTTACCCATTCCTAAAGTACATACAGTACTGTTTAAACAGCCAAATGCCCTGTATTAATCATATTCGCACTCATTGTGATTATTGTTCCTCAAAAAACACAATGTATGTGAATCAAATGAACATCGCCAGCAAACCCATTTGAGAATATTATACCTTATCGAAGAGTCCTCTTAACGTATCACGATGTATTTGTTTCTGCGCTTCATGATAAAATTCAGCACATTGTGAAGCGATCTTCACTAACGCTAACTGCTTCATTTTATCTGAAAAAAAGAAAATCCATTCACTTCATCGCAAAACGAATGCCGTTATCAATACAGTAATCACACCACATCAAATTAACACCAAACTCTCCACAAAACTCTCGAAAAATCGGTGGAACGAAATGATTATCAATAGTGTTTGATCGCAACCTTTTTCAGCTTTAATGTAGATCGCTTCCTGCGCTTGCGCTAACATTATGGTCGATAACGCGGCCAATGTATCCGGCATTAGATCTGGTGTTGGTTCCTTGAAGAAAAAAAAGAAGAAACTCATCATTTGGGATCAATATTTCGAGAAATTTCAAGAACTGCTCGAGAATAAAATGTCACAAAATTCTCAAGCAATCAAGGTCGAAATACCTCTCTCAAAAGGGCAGAATACTAGTCCACAAAACAAAAATGAATTCGTGATGCACACGACTTGCACGGAAATTCTAGAACGACCTTCCCCCACCCCCCACCCCCGCTCGAAAAATATCCACAAAAAACCGCAATAAATCATAATCAAAACCTGTTGCACCAGACCCAGAACAGTATCCTTCAACGTTGCAAAAACACCAGCAGACTGCTGGAACAATTTGGCCGCGATTTTCATCTCTTCATCGGTGTGCATCGTTTGTGATGCGGCGATACCCGACATCAGTGCACCACAATTGAACAACACTGCGGCGCGTTCGAACGATCCATCGGTTAATGCTAAGACAGATATTTCAAGTTAATTCATTATCTATTCCTATTCCGTTTCACTCATCCACCAATCTTCTATACAACTAAATTTTTTCCACTCAACAAGTTCTGGTTTCGCCTCGAAAAACAAGTCACATAAAAGTGTCCTAAAGATAAGACGCTAATAACTCCACCATTTAATCTAATCACATCTGCGAGTGCCTGTCAAGTGATTCAACACTCAAATAAAGAAAGCAATCTTTCACATCGATAAAATACGACGGTAATAAATAGCTAATCGCCCATAATTTCCTTGAATTCTTCATCTGAGTTCATTTCTGAGTTCTGAGATCAAGTAATTTGATGCTTCAGAAGCACCATCAACAGAAATCGTTCAACAAAGTGTTTGTTCCATCAGTAACACCAGCACCAAACGATCGCAACAATAACTCACTCAGCGATGCTTTGCTGAAGAAGATGGATCCTTTATCGAACGCATCTTTCCACTTGAACGCTATCGGATTGGTCGCCGCGGTTATCGGTAATTTATTTTCGACTGCTACCAACTGATCATAATAACTGCAATGAGTATGGGGTAATAGTTGTATTCACCTTTTCATTCTAAAATTATTATTGTTATTTGGATATCGAGTGATTCTTTTGTCAATCGCTGTGAGCGATCGGCGGAATATTTATTTTATTTGGGTTATGATTATTTATTGGATTGATATTCGGCTACGGTTGATTATGCAAAGTATTCACGGCAACTAATTAATTACTCGGTTGTGTTTGGTTGGCCTGCTCGCCTAGCCAGCGGGGTGGCGTGAATTGAGGCTTAAATTCACGGCTCTCAACTAATTAATTACTCGGTTGTGTTCGCTTGGCCTGCTCGCCTAGCCAGCGGGGTGGCGTAAATTGAGGCTAAAACTAATTACTCGGTTGTGTTTGGTTGGCCTGCTCGCCTAGCCAGCGGGGTGGCGTGAATTGAGGCTTAAACAATGTGCACGGAAACACGAGCATTGTGGCCAGCAACGTTATAAACGTTTGATAGCCTGGCTAATCCAGGTAATCATGCATTCACTCAAATATACGTGCATGTCTCTTTGTTACATATCATCGAATACTACTCTTTTGATAACTCATCCATTGTACTTTATCAATTCCATTACATATCAACCCATTCTCGTCGCTTCTTTAACAAGTCCTCAACCCTCTTCAATCAATCATCAGTTTCACCCTCCATTCAGCATCACCCAGCTCAACAATGAAGACTAAATTATTTCATCGTGATGAAATTTTGAAGTGCAATCACCATATTAGTGCAACTGTTCACTACCAATTGATGTTCATCGAATCATTCGATGTTTCACTGCTGCTATACGTAACACAACAAAAAATTGGTTGTCATGTGAACAAAACTATTCCATGATAAAATACAGCCATTATATTTGCCCCCAATACGAAAGAACTCTGTTAAGTTAGACTCATGTCTTTTCTTCACAGAACACATTTCAATTTCTTATCGCTGATGGAATAAAGTCTCTTCTCAACTGAATTTCTCAGATGGTTGAAATACCCATCGAATCTCTACACCAAATGTGTGCGATTGTCAATAAAAACAAAATTTGTGCATTTCATTTTAGATGTGCGTTTCACTAGAGTGACCACCAATGTAATCCAGTTGCTATGCATAACAATCAACGAGCGTTGTTGTGCGAGTTCAATTAAAGCGAATGCATAGATAATAATTCAACATCTTTACGCTTCAACAACTTGCTGCAACGGCATCTTCTCTATATGTAAAGAACTATATATGAACATATACAAACGAGTATGTACTAAGTGAAGAATGCATATACACAGAAAGGAGTATGCACTTATTCGATTGTGAGTACCATCTAGCTGTTAACGAATGAAAAGGGCGAAAAGTGTCGTAGCTGATGAGGCACAAATAATTTTACATTCCTCAATATGCACCGTTTCTTTAGTCCATCGAAAACTAGCAAACTGCGGATCATATACTTTTCATATAAATCACTTACTAAAATTGGCAAATTATTGATTAGAGACTGATGATTCATTCAAAATGTTAACTTAAGTTGGAGGAGAAATAGAATGAAGAGACAAAAATGAACTTTGATATTTCTATCAATTCATCAAAGGTGAGAAATGCATTGATTTATATAGGAAGATTACTGCAAGTACAGAACTTCATTACTTTAAACACGTTTAAATAATTCGAAAAATTAATATGAAACGTTTTTGCATAAAATATTCTGAATATATGGAGTCAGATTCAACATTTTGTTCAGTTCATATGGTCGGATTTGAAGACAATATGAACTCAGTGCCTTGTAAACTCGAATGCAACAATGCAGATTTAATGTAATCACATATTACATTACCTCTTTTTGTTCTCATCTCATTGAAATTACCACAAAAAAGATTCACTTCAACAGCAATCGCCGAAACAGGCAATTTTTTCGCAGCAATTGTGATGTTTCATCAAGTGTTCGCTTCCTCTCTGTGTTTGCATTTCTCTTTACGGTGTTACAATGATTACTATGAATTTCATTGATTCACATCAAAGCAAACAACTTTCATATGAACTGTTATGGTCGATTATCCGTTATTTATATTCGATTTTCCTGGGGTGAATAATATCGAAAATGATGCAGAGATTGAGATTTCCACACAGATTTAAAGTATATTTTCTTTTTGAAATGATTTGTGAACTAAAGAGAAACCTGACGGTCAGTGATCGGTAAGAATGGTCAAAATCAGAAACTAGCGAAGGTAATTTTCAAAAATTTATTGTCACATGATGCATCATCCATGTAAAATGATTAACTGTGACCAGTTTCCACTTAACTCATACGATTTGAATCCAATTTTTTTCTTCACAATCAAATAATTGACTTCGTCGCGTATGAATCAGAACTATCATTCACTTTGAATGCACTACAATGCACGGTAATTTGATCGCATTAAGCTCTCCACAAAAATACACACGCTTTCCCAGCTTAAACTGATAATGAATTACCTCAAAGGGCTCCGGTTCAGACAGTCAGATAGATGTACATGCTATTTATCATCGGCTTTTTATGATTTCGCCGGTTGAGGTATCCGCTCTTAAGTTCATTTTCTGAATTGAACACAACCTCAAGTCTGCGCGGCTTTGAGGATGCTCTATCATGAATGAAATCTCAAAATTTTTTCAGCCTCAAGCTTTCCTTCATCACTTAGCGCCAAACTGTAAAATGATCTACATGCCAATCAAAAGGAAGATCAACTGAGAAGATGAGTAGATCAAAAGCAGATCAAAATAGAACTGACCGTGTCAGAACATCCAGCGCACTTTGGTGTTTGTCGAGTGGTTGAATACATGCTTTATTTCTGAGTCTGTTTAGTTCTTGAACGGCTTCTTTGGTCTCTGAGCTGACATCATCGGAAGTTTGATAGATTGTTTCAATGTAGGATGTTAGTGGCTTTGCTAGGTCCACTTCATTTGTTGATTTGAGCGGAACGGTAAGAAATGTCGCCGAAGACATCTGAAACCGAATAAGGCATTGACAGACATTTCTCCAAGATCTCCGGTGATTTCGTTCTTTGAAAAGCCGATTTCCGCAAACGGACTTCAAGAACGTAACTGATAAAACCAGCGATCTTGAAATTTTTCGACAAATTCACTTAAGTATGCGAATTTGAATGGGTTTAAAAGCTATTCCAGATCGATTGAATCGACCCAATGTTAGCCATCGGCTCAATTGATCAGGTCACTTTTGGAAAATGGACGAAAACTGTTAAACAACGGAGAAATTGACCATAACAGTTCGGGACAGAAACAAAAATGTGGTCAAAATTTTAATTATTCGCAACTTGTTGGCGGATATTAAATGATTTGTTGAGCTTGTAAAATCATTTTAACATCGCAAACTGCGTAATTTAAAGTGATCAGTTACTAGTTGCGAAATACTGCGAGGATTAAATAAGTACTATACACGTCAAGAAAAAATAACACCGAAAGACGGGTACTATGTGATATATTGTTGCTTGTTTAGATGATGCATAACGATCTTTCGCTATTGAATGAATCAGTCGTGTTGAGACGATTCGCTACACTGGCTCCACCCTAGAGAATAGTTCAGCAATCATTTTGCGATTCGCCAATTGGCAGTAACTCAAAATTAACAAGTCCATCGCTAAATTAACAGACTAAATTTGAAGTTGGACGTGTTATTCGAACTAGTGTTTGCAAAATATCGAGCATTTTCTGAATACCGAGATCGGTGTTAGTATCGGTAACGTTTTTCAATACCGATACGATACCGCTATTAAAAAGCAATTTTTGAAATATAGATATGTGACTTTGTTCAAACACATTCTTTTTGAGCCAATGTGTACGATACCGCTATTAAAAAGCAATTTTTGAAAATAGATATGTGACTTGTTCAAACACATTCTTTTTGAGCCAATGTGTTCATAATTATTCAGAAAACAATTTATTAAAAAATCACTCTAAAAAGCTCAAGAAATTCAAGAAAAAATAAAAATGGGTATGATTCATGTCCCAGTCGTGATGGATATACTAGCAAATTCACTTAAAATGACTTGTGGTATGAATATCGGAAATACCGACACCACAAATCTCGAAATCGGTATCGTTTTTCCAATACCGGTATTCGGTATTACCGATATCCTGTGCAAACACTACTTGTTATTCGAACACTGAGCAGTTGGTTTGCCGGTTGCTCTGGGCTCAATTAGGCACAGCTTTTGCCAATGGTATTTGATTTGAGCGCAATACGAGTATTCATCTATGTAAAGTATTTATGACAACGGACATTCATTATTGCTTGGTTGTAGGGTGTTTAACGTGCTGATCACTAAGGATAAATTCGATGAGATCAATTGGAATCGCTGTTTGTTATTGATTCCGAACGATTACATACTGGTTTACTGCCGTCGATTGCTTCAAATAGCTACCTTGAACGATAATTGGATGCATGTTCAATCGATCAGTCAGAGTGTATTTTTAGGCTCATTTCGAGTCCCTTACCCTAGAAATAATCGGATAATATGGAACAGTAGCCTTACACTTTTATGCTCTCCAAATCAGTAATCGGAGTTAGAATTTCATGAAAACAGATGATTCTCAACAAATTTGAGAGAACGGGTAGTTTGAAAATGGTGCTCGTGTTAATCCTATAGAATTGTATCATTGTATGTTCTGAATCAAATTCTGAATCGATAATTAGATCAAGTTAGATAATAGCGTTGGTTGGATTTGGTGATATCAATGATATTGGCAGTCCATTCGGTTGCGAGCAAAACTTTCCTCTTCGGGTGGTGAAAAGGTAATGTTGTATTTCAGGTTGGTAAAATCACAGCGGCATTTCGATCGTGCGAACATTTCTTGCTGTGCTCTAACTAACAAGTAAAATATTCAACTGTGAATGTGAACGAAATGCGTTTTGATTGTACGGAGCAAAAATACAAAATTACCGGTGAAAATTCTGAACCGTCAACGCACAATCATATTCTCCATAGCCATATAACTGCACCAAAAGTTGGCATTTATCTGAAAATGATAGATTGATGCTGCTATTCGTGAGTGTAGTACTCCAGTTGGTCGCATTTGGGCCCAACTGAACTCCATAGTTCCATGAAGCACTGAACTCCTTTATTAATTAAAGCAGGGAAGCGCGAACGCTGTCCCCAAACGCAAAAATTATGCTGTTGGCGAATTCCGATCCGGAACTGCCACACGGGTCAACCGCACCAGAAGTGCAATGGTGCAGCCTCGCCATGAAGGTTCTGCCTTCTTGTTCGCAGAAACCTTCCAGCCAGGTAAGTTTATGAGTCGCTGCAATCCGCTACCATTCACATCAACGCATTCAATGATGAACGGGTTGGTCAACATGCGACATTGCTCTGTGCTGTGTTTTGATTTGACTGAATACATAGTTGTAAGATGAGAGAAAGATAATTGTGAGATTGCGAGAACAAGAATGGAGTGTGCAACCTCAAGAGGCGCATAAATTGGGTAGATTGCTCTGCATTGACTGCAGAGTCGTCGGCATTGAGATATAAGCAGTACGTAGGAGACTCGGCATTCTACACAGATATAAACACTTCATTTGAACACTGCACATCAAAAATATGCATGGTGTGTTATATCGAAAACAAATGTGGAAATGCTCGCGGTGAAGAGGAATGCGAAACGAAGAACGATGTTGCATGCCTTGACAATAAGATATCTTAAAACAGATGTAAATACAAAGCATGGAATGAAAGAGGCGGTAAGGTTCTTCTTAACCTTCTGATGCTTCAAATAATCAGTAAATACACGTTACTCTCACCACAATTCGGTATTTGTCATCTTCATGAAGTCATCTGTCGTGACGAAGCGCGAAAGAGACGATTCGTGAGGGACATCAAAGTGATATGTGAAATCAACCTTTAAATCTGTACTTAGCTGAATATGTATAAGATGTACACGGATATCATGCACTATCGATTCGGATGATGAAACTTAACTTTCGTATATATCATTTGGAGGATCTCTTCTCTTTTGTGTTTGTATCTTATGAATGCTTTGTGTTCGATATATAATACAGTGTTACAAACGCCGAAATCATCATCATTACCACTGTTCTGCACTCATTATCATCATTTAGCAATAGCTCTTAGTGTGTCTCAACCATTATTCCATTCATATCTCAACATTAATCCTCGACCTTTCTCTGCCCGTTACTCATCCAACTCCTTATAAATCGTGTCCGTTCCAGTTGATTTATATCCTTGCTCTAACAATACCGCAGCTCATGATGGCGTTCTAACGCCGAAACGTCCTACAATGTTTCCATATTTTCGCCTATTTTTCTGGCCACTGTTCCTTGATAATGGGAAATTTATGAAGAGCAATTTCAGTGAAGAATTTTCGGACCTTTTCGGTACGATAGTAAATACGTTCAAGAAAATGATGCCAGATCTCATAATCATTTGCGTATTCCAGCGGAGTTCTCACGTATCACAGTTATAAGCTAGTGCATAAATTGGGTGATCACTGAAATTTAGAAACAACGAGATCTACAATGGACTCTATTGACTGTAAGAATGAAATTAATGTGCTTATAAAATTTTTCATCATTATCGATCAAAATTTCTGGGTCTTTGTTTTGACAGTACTGAGTTATTGGTTTGATAAAACTGGCTGCTTTGAGTAAACTTATAAAATGTATGGATGGCTGAACATTTGGGAACTGCGAATGAGATGTCTAGACGCCGTTTATGGGACCATTTTCATATCTTATGGGACCATTTTCATATCTTCAGTGCAATTTGCTAGCTCTATTGCCTTTGTTCTAGTCAGTGTAACTACGGTTACTCTTAGACTGGAGATTATTCTTACGTTTAGGTTCAGGCTGAAATTTTTTTGATAGGGTATAATTTCTTCGCAGAAGTGCTTTTAACGGCAATCGCTGCTCGAGATCCATCCGAGCCGAGCAGCATGCATGCGAATAATTTATTTCAACTTTTACACTGTCAATGACTAACAACAACACAACGAATAAATTTTTATTGATGCATTTTATGAACCATAAAAATTTATGCCATTCATAGATGATCAAATCGTCGTCATTGCGATACAATAACCAATAAAGGCATCGTTCCGATGAGTGAAATTATTTTATTGTACCTTTTTTTTATCATTTGCGGGAAAGAAACCAAAATTGGAATGTGCATTCATTATGATATGCAAGTGGTGAGATTTATCATCGTATCAAAACGTCGGACGTTGACTGCAGCTTGTACGAAATGTTTCCACATGAATTCTAGTGCTAAATTTTCACAGACTGCTCTGATGATGCGATTCGAGAATTTTGATCGATCGCTGCATATAACAATGGCAACTTTGGATTCGGTGGATTCACTTCTTGATAAATCCACTTCACACTTTCGATTGGAAGTGCGTTTTCGAACCGCCGAAGGGTGCTGAAAATCGACGAGTATCTCGATTGAGATCACATCTCCGAATGACATTTATTCGCGCCGTTCACCATTTGCATGTCAAAAAATGCAATAAATTGACACAAACAGTACATTCTCAAGATTCCACAACTTCGCTTCGATTCTAACGGAAGAACTAAGAATGCGTTGTTGTAAAGACGGTCTGCGTTGGGCACTAACAGTGAGCAAGGTCAGAATCATTGGAGAGTGCAGTCGTCGAAAAGATAAATGAAAGCGATCATCCATTTAGTTGCGTGGATGTGTTTGCTCCATCTCTTTTACAGGGTCATAAGATAACTCAGAAAGTTGTTTTGGTTGTATCGATAGCCTGAAATATCGGTAATATTCCAAAGAAACATCCACTACTAGGTCAAATGCTCAAGATGGACAAGGAATACTGATATTGAATGTGTATGTTGTACAGTCAATCTTGAAAGATTTTCACCCATTCCAATCAATAACTGATTGAAAGCTTAATATTTTCGTGGAGTCACCTCAGCTTAGATCACCTACTGAAGCAAGCTGATCTTAATTCCTGCCATGTGTCCTTTCGAATTCATTGTGAACATTTCAGTTACGCTTCTTTCAGATTGACCTCTTTTGAAGGGTTTTTGAATCAAGATTGAATTAGTGACACAAGATAAAATTCAATAACAGGTGCAGCTTGATGGAGCAAAATGCAGTTCTCAACGGTATACCTTTGTCGTTGCCGTGCAATACTGACAGCGTCACGTATTGTCGGATAGAAATTCTCTTTTGGAACGAATCGATGAAAACCACTCGAGTCGAATAGTTCGCGAACTGGCGCTACAATTCGTTGTTATCACTGATGTTCAACGATCATCTAATTTGATCACCAGAAACATCTATTTGATCGCTACATGGATGTGTATGTATTATTGTTCGCAAAATTTTCTTCATTTTTGTGAACATTTCATAAATTAGCCACTTGAAGAAAGTTGAACACAAATTCACTGACCTTTAGCCGCAGCAAAATAGACCAGAACTCGTTCAGAGCGCATTTCAGCGAATATCTGCAAAACTTTTTCTGCTATAGAAACAACAAAGTCTCATCGAACCAAAACATTTTCGTCAACGACTTTGATCTAGATCAATGATTCATTTCCTAAACAAATGTTTATTTTTGAGAGCTTAAAACAAAGTTGAATCCGTCAGTCATCTCGATGGAATAATCATTGATTCAATTACGAATGCACTCAATCCTTCAGGTGTGGACATTTAACGACAGTTCTGACGTGTCAAGCTTGATCGTTTGTTAGTTGAACTGAGCAGTGGTCAAATGATGCACTGCACTCACCTCTTTGATCGCATTGACACCCATAAAGTCGACGAAAGTAAAGCCAGAACAGTCGATGATGAAATGTCGTGAAGGATGCATTTCAACTGCTGCACGAGTGTCTTTCTGTTCTGGCTGTATAAATCTTATTCATAATCTCTTTTGTTAGCTACTAAATGCATGATTTGATTAGATTCAAAAGAGCACGGCTTCTAGCCTTCGAAATTTTGATCAAGTTCTGGAGATCAAGCAAAAGCTGCGTGAAATGCTAGGGTAATCTGTACGAGTTGGCGTTATTTTTTCTAATTAAAGCAGTCTTTATGGATGTAATGACGCAGTGACTTACGAGGACACGTGATGCATTTGTGCATTGTATTGAAACGTCATTAGGGTACTGACCATGTGGAAAAAGGATCGAAGGTCTTTCCACCCTCCACTGTTTCAGTACCTTAAATTATGTTACGGTCACAAGTTCGAACAATTTCTATGACTCGCAAATTAATCGATAACAAACAAGATAGGGACTTTAATTGTTTCAATTTGGCCTGCAATCATATTTATTATTTGAACTGAATTGTTTAATTTGACCTGAAATGTTATTTATACTCGACTTTAGTCGACCTGAAATGGTGAGATGTGAAATGAACAGCTACCTTATAAATGATACGCTTAAAACGTTCCACATTTGTGAACAACAGTGGTGAGTCGAAACGAAACACACAAACGCCCTGAAATACGATAATTCAATGGTATTCATCGCATTCACATTTTATAAGTAATGAGTCGCTGAATCAGAAAACCAGATGTTCACTACATCGTAGTTAGTAACAGCGTGATAGCGCTCTGAATCTCGATAATCGTTTGTTCCCTCTAAATTCGCTAGAAGATGCCATCGTGACCTGAAATGGGAAGATTTCACCTTTTATTCCCAACGGGAACTTTTTCTTTTTATTACACTTTTCCAAAATCTTTAAAATTTTCGAGATTGGCATTGCAAAAGTTCGAATGGCTTGCAAACAATGACAAGTACTTAATATAAAAGGAACACTCATTCGATACAGCCGTATTCGTGCACCCAAAATAATTTTAAGATGTTCTCTTATCGTTAGCTATTCTCAGTTGGGTGCCAAAAAATAAAAAGAATTTCATTTACCATTGCGTACGAAATACAGTAGTCATCAATGCGAATGCCAGCGATATGATAAGGCCTTGCATAACATCGTAAACTACGGTAGCGGTGAAACTGACCAACCAAATCAACTGAATCAACAAGAAGGTAGATTCAGGTTTAGTGCGCGGAATATGTTTCAATTAAAATGGCAGTTATTGATCATTATCGATTATTGATTACTGATCATTATTGATCAAAAAATCATTGATCATTATTGATCAAAACGGCAATTATCGATTATTGATTATTGAACATTGCGATCATTATTATAACGAAGAAATAACTTACAAAATCAATGGTAGACAGTGGCCACAAACGCTTCAGTTCACCGAATTTTTGGAACATTCCTCTGAGCGCCACAATGATGATCGCAGATAAGACACACTTAAAATTGATTCCGTCAAAACCGTTCTCTTCAATTTCATTGTAGCCAGTCAATTCTAACCGGACATCTCATGTCATATTAACGATTTGAAGTTTGAATAACTTTCGAAAATTTTCACAGTTCAAACGAACTCAATGTTTTCTCTCTTACTACTATTAACTAATGATTGAGGAGTTTCGAAAAACGATGCTACACATTGGCTGCACATCAGCGAGCAGAAATTTTCCAGTTGCTCGTATTGATTGCTCACGAGTTTGGTCACCGAGTTGCTCGCCGCCAGCATGAGTCAGCCTTAGACTGCTCATGCTCAAATTTCGTTCGCATGCTCATCAGTGTCTAGCATTACTAGTAGCACTCAGTGCTCAATTGCGACACACGACAATAATTCTTTTCATGTGAAACACCGCTGTTTCAGACTTCATTCAAAACTTTTTTCGAGTAGAAATCACCATATGCTGCCTTCATGAGGATAACACGGTGTCGACACAGGTAAAATGATTACCAGTTTAGCGCAGCAGCACCCAACCAACTTACCATTGGCAAAGTTCTGAGGTATCGTCCAAAAAAGATGATCACAGCAAACAAGAGAGCACTTGAAAATATCGCCGAAAGCTGAAAGTTTCCACAAAAATTATTCAAAAAAATTTAAAATGAAGTGAATTCTCCATATCACAGATGCATTAAATGACATCGAATCAGACAAATGAGATGAAGATACATCCGTCGAATTGGGTTTGAGTGATGATGCATTATATGAGCTATGAAAGTTACGCAAACTAAACCAATATTATACTCTCAAGAATATGAACAAATCATAAGAATCTATTAACTGTGCCACTATTTACAATCTAAAATCACCATCAGTACTATTTGTAATCACCGCTTATTATCACCTGAGTCTTCGTTCCGGCCGAAACATTCACCAGAGTTCGACCAAGGGAGCATGCCATTGGATATACGGGGAAGAAACTTGATACTGCAGCCGTAAAACCGATCGCGTAGAGTTCCTGAAATTGAGAGTCAGTCATTCCAGGAATTCTTTCGCTCAAGGATGCAAATGGAATTTCATCAGAAAAGCCCTACGAAAATTTTAAGAGCCCTTCTTGTTTGAGTAATGCCCTTCTTTTGAACACAGTTCTGTTGTCGAGTGGTCGCAAAAGCACAAAGCCCTAGAGGTTGGTTAGCTTCAAGGAAGGAACATAGAATATGGTTATCACTGATGATAATATCATATCAATTGTGGCTGCGAGAATAGTTTTATGGCGTAACGTTTGTGCAAGTCCCTGACCTGTCCTGCATCGATTTCGTAGTCGAGTTTTTTGGCGAACATTTTCGCTAGAGATATATGAATAGCAATAATGACTGCAGCAATACCGAACGAATCAGCGATCAGCTGAGGTATTAAATCGAATCGAGGTAGTTTTGGTGATGGCAGTCTTCAAATATGTTTCATTTTAACATCTCTTCATTGTATTCGTTTAACGGCGAATAAATTAACAAACCTGTTTGGGCCCATATAGGCTCAACGCACTTTTTAGTATTCAGCCGATACGAGAAAGTGTTTGAGATAAGAGTGACTTTGAGAATTTTTAAAACAACCAAAAAAGTTAGCAAATAACGAATACGTCGAGCTAAGGAATTATTCAGCACCTTCAATATATCACGGGAATTGATCTCGTGAATGTTTGCAGAGTTAAGAAATATTCATATGACAAATCACAATGTTCAACAACTAAGTAAATAGTACGCATGCAATATGATAATAACACAAACCCGCTTGGAATATGACTCACAATACGTATTCGACAATTGCTATGAAGGTGAAGCAGAGCCGATAGAAACGTTGCAATTATCACCTGAACATAAACGATTTCACAAAATTTTTATGTTCTATCTCAAAAAACAAAACAAAGTGAACAATTCTCAGATAATAATGCTCTCACCAGAATCAACTCGAAAGGTATCGGCAGTGAGCAATTGAATTTTCTCTTTACCAGCTTTGCAATGAATATTTTGCCTATCAAAAGGAATGCGATAGATAACACAGCAATCAATACAGTGTATGGATTCGACATGTGTATATGTGACAGAATGTCATACACGCGCTGAAAATTTTCCAGAAATAACTGCAAATGAAATCGAATGCTGATAAATTTTCATCAAAGTCGAATGAATGGAGTTTTGCAGAAATCCGTCACAAAAATGCAAATGAAAACAGGAGATGCAGTTGATGTTGTTGAATGTTCATAGTGAAGATAGCAGTGGAATGTAAACATTCAATCAAGTGACATGAAAATGGAAAAGCGTAAAAGATCGTGGAGAAATATTGGTGATGAAAACGGCAAAAAACAGTGTACAAGGAAGAGCTGTCCAAAGCCAGTTCGTTTTGGAAGGCCGTGAATCGAGAAGATATCCCTTAATTGGGACACAAAAACATGCATTGAGGCTGCAGTCGAAAAGCCGGAAACGACTTGATCCGAGAAATATGTCGTGATGAATTCGAGATGTAACATGCCCATTAGAATCTGGAACAGTGTGATGCTTTCACTTCATTTCATTCGCTAACATAAACAGTCAATGTTTACGAATGATCGAAACAACAAGATTGAAAATATGGAGTGTCTTTTTATGAGAAAACAAATAAACTTCAAACACTCTGCGAGTTTTGAGGAAATTCTAAAGAGAAATTTTCTGAACTTGTAAATGACCGAGCATTGGCCTGCGAGAGCTTATCTTTGAACTTCGAAATACTAAGAAAATGAAATGACAATTCAGAAATCATGTCAGAGAAAGAAGAATGCGATATTTGCGATATGTGATATAGTGATAAGATCGAGGCATAAACTCGTAATGAGTTGTAATTGCTGATTAAGTAGGTAATAAATAAATAATCCAATTTTGTTATCGCTATTTCAACGCACGTATGTTTCATGGGATGCATGATCTTATCTTCTTCCATAACGCTGCTTACTTTTTTTACTCCTTTTACATTTTTTTCAGAGTTTTGACACTTATTGTCATCGTCAAAAATAGAAAGTCTTTCTGCTCCCTGGAACATTCATTCTCTGATGGTTGTACAGATCAGTCCCCACACGCGAGTGCTCCATTACCCCCTTCGATGGTTTGATAGGCCGTCAATATCTCCTCCTGCTACAATAATTTACTAATTTCCACGCATAACGTCAGAACTAATTTCCCGATCCCTTCCATTACCCACTGACACCCCCAAAATACCCAAAAATGGGTAACTTATCCGCATGCAAAGGGTAATTTCCCAATGAGGATCCCTGGTATAGATTGATGGAACATCAAAAGAAGCAGTAAGAATAAAGTACTCCTAAAGGAGATATCGCTTATACTAAGACAACGCAATTATTGCTCAACTATCCACTGAATCGATTTGAGCACTAATGAGGTTTGAATTATTGCAGAGATACTACAGTATGCCAGTTAAATACCGTACATTAACCAATCCAATCGTGAATGTAAGAACCGATGCCACTTCAACCGATGTTAATTTTGGGGTTGGTTCAGTGATATTTTGTTGCATTAAGTTAATGTCATCTGCCGAGTTATATTCGTTGACGAGACGATCGACTGCTAAGCCAGCCATCAGGCTTACAACAGCGAACGAACCTGAAACTGGGATGAATCGAACCTGAAAATGAATCGAACTGAACCTGAAATTAAACTCCCTGCTACCTGATTTGATAAAAAGGGCACTCGTAAAGAAGTGACGCAATGAGACTGATCGATGATGATATGTATAATAATTTCCGACTGATATACAGCAAAGATTCATTTATATTACATTTGTATTGTATTACAAAATTCCGATGCAGCACCAGGAAATGATATTTGGGGAGATGAAAGGAAGTTAAATGAAACTATGAAAATTTGAGAAGAGAAGATCACAGAAATTGTTCATTGCTTGAAATCAAAAGAAAATATGTCACACTGTTGCCATCTGAACTAATTAAAAAGATCAAAAGCATTTACAAACCTATCGAATTATGTCGCGATGTTCCAAAAATCATATACAAAAGAGGTGGGAAAAACGATGTGTATAAACCGACAACTGGATCTACGTGAGCCAATGAAGCGTACGCGATACCTTGAATGATAATTAACACTTTGAAAGTTTAATATTCTCGTTATCGAATTTGAAATGGAAACCGGAATGGAACTGCTCGTAAAAGCCTTGCACATTTCATTTCTATATTCCAAATCTTCATCATCAAATCGCTCACTTCCTACGATAGAATGTGAAAATTTCTATTGGAAAACTGCGAAAATAGCCTCTTTCAATCGCAGACCTTGAAGCATTACAGTGAGCATGAAAAGCCGGCACTCGATCTTAAAATGATGTGCAATTTAAATGAAATACCTTGAGGCACATGCATTATACCGACCGTTAGGCCACCAACCACATCCATAATGAAGTTCTCACGAATCGAGTACTTCGGCATCCAACCGATTATCGGAATGAAACTGATCACCGACATCACAAAGGTCTCTAGCGATAAAAACGATGAATAATAACGTCGAATAAATTTCTTAAGTCTTGACTTGGAAAGACTCTCTGCTGGTGCTTTATAAGCGAATTTTGCATCGAATTCTTCCTGGAACACAAACTTTTTATAAAGGAATTGAAGATGATCACATGTTTAAGATGTATTAAAATAGTATAAGACATTCTAAAAGTTTTGCAGTGAACATTCCGAAATGCAAAGCTGATCAGGTCTGAAACGTGAAATAGCTCGTCGTTGAAAAATTATTTAGAATTGATCCGTGATCAAATATTGATTGATCAAATACATTGATCCGTTAATATTACTCAGAATTTTTTAATATCTGATGTGACCCAAACTTTCTGCCGATATTGCAATAAATGCGGATAATGATAATAATAATAATGATAATAATAATAATAATAACAATAATAATAATAACAATAACAATAATAATAATAATAATAATGGCGACGGACAGGACATGAGGGGGAGGGGGCAAGATGAGAGAGAACCTGATTCATAGCCGGTCGGACTTGACCGCTTGGACCGACGTACGGCCCGTTAGCATCTTCAGACATTGTGACCAATGCTGTTCGCTGCAAAAAACGTTTCTTCACAACTCAAATCCAAATATTTCACAAAAAATTCGAAACAATGATTTTTTGATTTTGAATGTAAAATCATTGCAATCTATACCCAATAAGCTAACAAAAGTCAATTCAGCGTTGAATCACCAGCAAAAAAAACCAAAAAAGCAACAAAAAAACTGTCAAGCGTGGATTAGAAAATCCCTTGTAGGCAAAGAAAAAAATTCCGTGTCAGGCCTGAAATCGTCCAAAATTTTTTTATCTTATGGCTGATGATAAAAAATTTTCAGACGACTGCCATGCAGCATTCATCTCTATATAGCAAAACAATTGCGTTTTAATTGGCGACGTATGTCACCGGTTGATTGCTTATCAATACCATTAAATTTAGTACTTATCAAGCAAAAAAGCGAATCTTTCGTCTGGTAGTAACATTTCTATTCCATAAACAACCAATAAAGTGTATTGTTTTATTCAAAGCCGAGGAATATTGTTTTGCTCTTTGATCTGTTTTGATTTATATTATTATACATTATTATTATACATACCTATATTGTACATTATATTATATATATATATACTATATTATACATTATAGTTTGAAGACGTTTTCTAGTGCTCATTGAATTCTGTGATTTGTGGCGATAATGTTTCAAATTTGTGAAATGATAGAATCAGGTGATTTGTGCCATGTGCTATCATATCTGTATTATGTATACATTGTGTTATGGTTGGTGGAAAGGGCGGTCTGGCAGTCAAGTTGCAGACGAAGTCACGAGTGATAACGTCATATTGATAATGTCATGCTCATATTGATGACATTAATGAATACCACAACTGATAATGCCATCCCAGCAAATATTGATAATGTACGCATCTTAAGAACTCTCATACCTATATTATATTATTCTGATGTGTATGTATCTGATCTGTTGCATGTATTTACTCATGCGTAAATCTGAAATACACTTTGAATACACGTGAGATACACGTTGAATCTGTTGCATTCTTCTCATATTCTTCGTGATTTACAGCTTGTGACAAACCTTGCTTTGTAGCCTTATCTCAACTGCTCAACTGCTGTCAATTCCACAAAACCTTGTCATTTTTCTATTGAGTCACGCTTCCAACAATTTAATATTTTAACCTAAATTATATTCATTCATTCATCATTCTCGGATCCGAGCAAATTCAACAGCTTTAACGTTTTCGTTCAAACTCAAATGTTTTCAACATTCTCGTCGATGTTCATCTCCCGACCCCGTGTTAATCTCCCGACCCCGTGTTAATCTCCCGACCCCATGTTAATCTCCCGACCCTGTGTTAATCTCCCAACCCCGTGCTAATCTCCCGACCCCGTGCTAATCTCCCAACCCCGAGTTAATCTCCCAACCCCGTATTTATCTCCCGACCCCGTGTACTGCTCCGTCGCGGTCCTAGCCTTTTTGGTACCGCAATTATCGTTCAACTTCATCATCACCGTCGACTCCATCGTCATCAGTCAATTTCCTTATTCCGAACCATTCAAAGCAGTCGTTATCAATTTCATTCCAAACCTACTCGTTACTACAATACCTTTATTGTTTTCTTATTTTCAGTGAATAAACTGATTAATTCTGTGTAGTGAGAGGTCATCGCATCATCATATCACTACAAGATCTAACACAAATCCTATTCACTACATATTGTCTTATGCTATGACATAATATTCAAATTATGTCACCTAATCAAATATTTCTGTTCAAAAAATCTTGATCAGTTGTGACACCTCATTATATGTACCATTACTCTCGAATCTATATTTTACTGCGGTTGATATGCTCTAATCCGTATTATCACAATTATGAACTTGCACTATAACAAGAGTGATACCTTGAGAAAAGAAGAGCAATACGGAAATGAGTTCGGAACACATGCATTCACTCTAAATATTCATTTAGTACTGGTGTTTTAACTGAGTAATCAAGTGCCCATCACGAAAACCCCACCAACACGTTATTATTTCATACATGCACTCACATTTTATGAACTCATGACGTTCGGTAATCCGTACGACTGGAAGAGACATAAAATTCAGAATGTGTGAATGAGAGCAAATACCGAATTAAACAATAATCTAATCGATTTCAGAACTTCCAATGTAACTTTCAATCATATAATCACAAAAAGATTTTTAAAAAATGAACAAAGTCAAATTTAGAAACTTACTTCTTCGTCGATGTTGAAATAATTCATGTTGGTGTTTTTGTTGTTTCAATTGAATCAATGTGAAATTATTGTAACAGCAGCAGTGATGCTGATCACGAGAATAATGTGAACTATAGCAGAAAATAGGAGGTTTTTGTGGATGGGATTAAAAGATGGATACTCAGCAAGAGTGCTGCTGACTGGCTGCAATATCAATAGAAGAGATGGATATTGCACTTGATTGACAGATGGATAAAAGGTTTTTTTGTGACTCGTATGGATGAATTGATGGATATGCTGAAGCTGCTAACAAATTATAGTTAAATCTCGTATGGATGAATTGATGAATATGCTGAAGCTGTTGACAAATTATAGTTAAATCTTATAAAAATAATCATATTTTATGTGGGAGAGCAGCCCAAAACCTCTGAAGGTAGAATTTTAAAAAGACAGATGATTTCTAACGCTATTATCGTTAAGTGCGCGGAAATAATAATGCCAAAGAAAGGAAGATTGTGATATTGGTAATATTTGTGATAACAAAGAGGCATTGACTCGTAATGAGTTGCTTAATTTGCTGATTAATAAATAACTAATCATATCTTAATTTAGTCGTGTAATCGTGTTGTATCAAAGCAAATTATTTCTTTTTGCTCACATGTTCTGCTTGGTTGCGAGTTTAGCTCATAGTCATGGTGAACTTAGCCGATGTGTTTTGAGAGGTATTTGTCAGCTGGTACAATGACATCTCTCTTGTCGATTTATATCGATAAACATTTGAATTTGATCAAATTTGTCGGACAGTTTAGACGATACGTTCGACAGCTTGTGAATATCACGTACGACTCACGATAAGACAATTACATTATTCGTTTCGTCAGCGATCGAAACGAATAATGCAATCGTGTGTGCACAACGTTCGATATTAGACAGTAACTGTATTGGGATATTTCGATGAGATACATGCAGCAACGTACGATAAGTAGTTACTGAGACTGATAAAATGATGCAGATATTCAGGAGAATCTCTTCTTACATTTATCTCTTAAGAGAAAATCGAAATTAGAGACTGAAATTTTATACAGTAATCGGAAAGAGCTCAACGTTGTATTGTTCGTGTTTCCGAAGTGAACACTTGGAAAATGATAGTAATTTGTATCAATTTGTTGATCGAAAAATGTTTATTATAGAATCAAATCGTTGGAATTGCATGACTTATTTAGAACAAAATGAATTCGCATGAGAAAATTGCTTAATTAGTTTTTGCGTGATACAGTATGCAACTAAATTATTGATTCGTATTGTTCGTTGATGCATTTGTGCCCTTTGGTTGACGCAACTCTTTCGAAAAAAATCGTTTATTTCAAAAATATCTCAGAAACATTTTTAGAGGTAAAAATCTGCAAAAAACAAGTTTTTGCTTAATTTCGCAAGATTGGAGAGGAAATTTCTCAAAGTATAAATCAAAGAGATAGTTGTTATTGATAAAAACTTGCACAGAAATGGATCAAACTGAGCGAGAAACTCATCTAAACTCATTAAAGTCTCATCTAAACCGGTGGATCTTTCATAGAATCCAAAAAAACTTCTCGACTTATCAATAGAGAATAATGAATCATCCAAGCGCATTCGATGAATTGAAAATTAAGCTAAAGAATTCGGAAAAATTAGTTGCAAAAAATTGCGAAAACTTATTTCAACAATGAAGTGTAACTAAATGAAGCAGTTTTAGGACTCATCGAACATATCGGAATGACGGAAGTTCAATGAAATTTCATTGAAACAATTGCAAAGTCACGCCGAATTCGGGGAATATAAAGCGGTGATTCATTCGGAGAATTCAAAGCGATTTAACACATTGTTTTGAATGGTCAGATAAGTAATGAAATATTCCAATGATTTCCGTTTGGGCTAAATTGAATGTCAGTTCGAAAATGGAAGAAATGCATGAGGATGATGAACAGCATTCGCTGATGAGTCAAATCTATTGATTGATTCAAGAGAATGAATCACTGAACACAATCGCCTTCAATCATATCATGTTGCGAGTGTTTAAAGTCAGGTCAAATTCAAGTATCTCACGAAGGTGTCCACAGCTAAACAGTTCAACTTTCAACACGATTTCAGCACATTCATTAATCAGTACACTAATTGTGTGAACCTTATTAATTATTGGCTATTGTATGATTCGAAGAAAGTTTAATCATATAATATTTAATCATAGTTCATGATTTCGACAAAAAATCAACAATAATCACTATAATTCGCTATTATGTTGATGTTAGTAAAATGACTGAATGAAATTTGTGAACGATCAGCTGTGGAATGGATTGGATTTTGTTGAAGGAACAACGTCTAAATGCTGGAGTGTGTGTGATAAACGTTATTTGAGCAAGCATTTAAGCGTGCTTATCGATTTTGTATTAGCTGAAATTTTTGCTTACATCGGCTAGGCACAGAATGGATGATGACTGCAAGCACGTTCATTCGAATGAAGCAATTTGCTTTTTAGACACGCTTTTCGCGGTTGAGTATAATTTACGTCATTATTATTAATATTGCTGCTGCATTCTGTTCAAACGTTTTTTGAGAAGAAGATCATACATAATAAATAAATATTCTTTATAGATTTTCAATGCGTCCTCGAGGCATTCTCGTTTCCTCATTCCTCCGTGTAACGTTCAACTTCACCAATGGAACANTTTCGCGGTTGAGTATAATTTACGTCATTATTATTAATATTGCTGCTGCATTCTGTTCAAACGTTTTTTGAGAAGAAGATCATAATAAATAAATATTCTTTA